AACATATATAGAAAAGATATCCGATTTGATATTAAAAGGTAAATTAAGGCTTCATCAACTGACTGGGAAAGACCCAGCTGAAATTATTGTACCTTTAACGAATGAGGAAATTTCCTCCTTATGGAAGGATAATGAGTATTGGCAAATAGCTTGCAGTGACTTTTTGGGAAGTATTAGTAATAACTATCCCAAAACAGAGAGAATCAAATTCATAAAGAAAACAATTTGGATTCTTCCATGTATCATGAGGCAAACACCTATTTCTGGAGTTCTTACCTTCTACATGGATGCAAACAAATCAGGTAAGGCAGGGTATAAATCAGGAAATATAAGTAAAGTAGTTCAAAGCCCTTACAACTCCGTACAAAAGGCAGAGTTATATGCCATTCTCATGGTACTTAAAGACTTTACAGAGCCTCTCAATATAGTCACAGATTCTCAGTATGCAGAAAGAGTTGTCTTGCACATTGAGACTGCAGAATTTGTTCCTGATAATACAGAATTAACCTCATTGTTTTTACAATTGCAGGAAATCATCAGAAACAGGACTCATCCTATATATATATATAACACACATCAGATCCCATACAGGTCTGCCAGGTCCTCTGGCACAAGGCAATGATGAAATTGATCGTTTATTAGTAGGTAATGTGTTGGAAGCTTCAGAATTTCATAAGAAACACCATGTTAATAGCAAAGGTTTAAAGAAGGATTTTTCTATCACCTGGCAACAAGCCAAAGAAATAGTAAGAAATGGTCCCAGTTGCTCATTCTACAATCAAACTCCATTACCAGCAGGTTGTAATCCTAAAGGTGTTCACAGAAATGAACCTTTGCAAATGGATGTATTTCACTTCCCAGAATTTGGCAGTTTGAAATATGTACACCATACCATAGACACATTCTCAGGCTTCCAATGGGCTACTGCCCTCAGCTCTGAAAAAGCTGATTCTGTTATTACACACCTCTTAGAGGTGATGGCTGTTATGGGTATACCTAAAACGATAAAAACTGACAATGCTCCAGCATATGTCTCCAGTAAATCGGAACAATTCTTCAAATATTATAATATAAAACATGTAACTGGTATACCTTACAATCCCACAGGACAAGCAATAATTGAAAGATCTAACTGAACCTTAAAAGAGATGCTTCATAAACAGCCAGGGAAAACAAAGACACCTAAACATAGGTTACACAATGCTTTACTAACGTTGAATTTTCTTAATGCTGATGAAAAAGGACAAACTGCAGCAGAAAGACACTGGACTACAGAGAAGACTTCTGAACTGAACCAACCAGTGTATTTTAAGGATGTTATGACCTCAGTCTGGAAACCAGGATATGTGTTACGTTGGGGAAGGGGTTATGCTTTTGTTTCCACAGGAGAAGAAAAGGTTTGGGTTCCATCAAAATTAATTAAAATTCGATCAGAACAGAAAACATCTCAGGAGGAGGAAGATAACAGCCCATCTAAAAATTCATATCCCACCATTGGTAAAGTGACCTCCTAAAAGGAAAGAGAAGTGTTTTGTTTTTTGTTTTCACAGGTAAACTCAGCAAAGAATACTGGACATATGGATTCCTGTAGAAGAATGAATAGCTACCCTGAGGACCATCAAACAAACAGTAACTCACTGTGTGGTATCAAAGTCTAAATCTCTCTATATTGTTTTTTCATAGTACCCTTTTATCCTTATTTCTTCACATACCTCAGTCCCCATTCATTTAACTGAAGCTGGCTTTGGAGTTGGATTGGCTCTCCTAGTCTGAACTCAAGCATATTATTTAAATACAATTCAGAATTTCTGTATTATATCAAAGAGCCATTGATATAAGACAGAAGAAAATAAAATTAGGGACTGTTATCTGTGGATTTCTTTTTCTGAAAAGTCTAATTTCCTTCAGGTTTACCATCTTCCCTATTGTCACCTCTTCCAGGATGCATACATATAAAAGTTACAATATTTCTTTGTTAACATTAATGTTTGAGTTTTCCAGAGAACAAGGGATTTCCTGACAGCAATCTTCAACTGCTTCAGAAAGAGAATGAGGATCCACTTCATTGACTTCACCTGATTCGACTGGAGGCATCTGAACTGTCCCACATCATTGACTCCACCTGACAAGCACTATCCTGAAACTGGCTTGAAACTACATCACTCTACACAACTCCGGACCAAGAAACTGAAACAGCACATCTTCTACAATCTGGCCAGAGCTTCAGATGAGAGCTTCAATTAACACTAGAACCCCAGTCAGGAACTTCAATCAAGCATCTCCTGCCATACAGAGACTGTCTGATCTACTGAGATTTTGTTATACTAACATTTTTCTTCTCACAGGTCCCCATGAGATTATCATCGTCCCATCTCAGCAGGAAGTAGTTTTGAGAATTCCACGCCCCCTCTCCCTACTATTGATATTATAAGATAGTTTACACCTGTTAGTGTTAGTTTTCAATTATTTTAGAGTTGGGATTGGGAGGAGGTGTTCATATTTGGGTGTTTCTTTCAGATAAGTTTAGGTTTAGATAGAATAGATGTTTGATACATTTTATTCATGGACACAAGTTAGTTGTCTTTTTTAGACTAAAAGGGGGAATTGTTGGAGGAAGTCTGTATGCCGCCATTAAATATGTGACTTACTAGAGGCGCATACAGATGAGGTAATAAAAGGGCGGTTTACCACACCGCTAACCACACCCACTTTAGGCAGGACTAAAGACATATACGGCTGGACGTAAAGACGTATACGTACGTAGGTGGAACTACGTCACTAGCCAGGCCCACTTTTGGGCATGGCTAGGGGTCGTTACGGGGGGAAGGCATAAAAGACAGCACACAGGAAGTCTCGCTCTCTTTTCCTGGAGTTCGGCTTCCGGTTCGGCAGTGGAAAACTACTTGGCTCATCTGGGTTACTTGTTTGGTATCTTGTGAGTAATTTCTACAATGAATACTTAGTTTTACTTTCAGTAAGTGTGTGTCGCTTATTGTTACAGTGTCATTTGGAGCAACAGGGGTAGCAATCCTACATCTAACAAATTAGACTTTAAAATAAAATCAATCAAAAGAGATGAAGGAGGTCATTACATACTCATTACAGGTGAAATCCACCAAGATAAAGTTTCAATTCTGAATATCTATGCCCCAAATACAAAGGTATCCATGTTCATAAAAGAAACATTACTAAAACTCAAATCACATATAAAGTGCCACACACTTATAGTGGGAGACTTCAACATCCCACTCTCACCACTAGACAGGAATACCAGACAAAACCATAACAAAGAAACAAACGGGGCTACTTTGGAAATCAGTATGGAGATTCCTCAGAAAAATGGGAATAAACCTACCACAAGACCCAGCAATTCCACTCTTAGGCATATATCCAAAAGATGCCCATTCATAAACAAGGATGTCTGTTCCACTATATTCATAGCAGCATTATTTGTAATAGCCAGAAATTGGAAGCAACCTAGATGCCCCTCAACCGAAAAGTGGATAGAGAAAATGTGGTACATTTACACAATGGAGTACTATTCAGCAGAAAAAAACAATGGAATCATGAGATTTGCAGGCAAATGGATGGCACTAGAAGAAACCATCCTGAGCGAGGTAACCCAGTCACAAAAAGAGAAACATGGCATGTACTCTCTCATATATGGATTTTAGACATAGATCTGGTGAGTGACAGCCTACAATCCCATGGCCAGAGAGAGTCTGGGAAACAGAACCTTCATTCAGTGGCTGATGGAAGAAGAGGCAGACTCCCACGGCTAAGCACTGAGCTGAACTCAAGAAAGCCAGTGACAGAGAGGGAGGACTGATGACCAAAGGAGTTAAGACTGGGCTGGTTTAACCCCCAGAAACAGCTGACCTGACAAGGGTTAGCTCTTGAATCCCAGGCTGATGCCTGGGAATCCAGCATGGGACTGATCAAGACCCCCTGAATGTGGGTGTCAGTGAGGAGGCCTAGGTAATCTATTGAGCCTTGGGTAGTAGATCAGTATTTATCCCTGGCATTCAAATGGACTTTGGGTGCCCATCCAACAATGAGAGATGCATTCTGGACTCTTGGGGGAGGGTCTTGGCCCTGCCCTGTATGAAATGACAGACTATGGACACTCCCATGGAGGGCCTCACACTCCCTGGGGAAATGAGGGTGTATTGTGGGGGTTGGTGGGAGGAGGGGAGGGAAATGGATAGGGATCCGTGATTAGAAGCCTTGTTTCTAATTTAAATTTAAATTTAAAAAGAAAAATAATGATATTTGCATTATTTTTGGTGTGAGGAAGCATTGTTTGCATATTGTGTTAGTAGGAGAGGTATAAACAGAAATCCTCAGGGCATCAATGTTTGTTTTCAATTATTGCAGACACTACTGACTGCTACCTAACACCCCTCCACCCTAACCCTCACAATTCAGCCAGAAAACAAGACACAACATGTTGGTTCTTTGTTTTGGCAGCCCTGTAAGCCAGCCAGGTTTAGCCCATGAGGTGCACAGGGAGCAGGGTTATGGCCAGGGTCAAGGGTCTTCTGAGAACACACACTTTAATATGCTTTTTTCCTTTCTGCTATGAAAGCTGTTACATGAAAACCTCATGGTACGCCTGAGAGGCTCTGTCTCCACTTGAAGGAAAGGTCAATAGCACTCCAAGGATGCTGACTCAGAATCTTGGTATTATCCGATTAGCAACCCTCTAAAACACCACCTCAGACAATACACCTAATGTGTAAGAGTGTACAATAACATAGGAAACTGTTATGCACTGGAAAATGTGCATTATTCATTACATAGAGGACAAAGAAGTTCATGAAATACTAAGCAATCCTGTGTTGGCTATGAAAATGCGTATACATATATATGTATGTATGTACATATACATGAATAGATATGACTATATTAAAAGATGAGCAGTATTATAACAATATTGAACCCCTGTTAAGCATTTGAAAACTACAAAATTCAGCAAGTAAAGAAACTTGGATGGTCACCTTTCTTGGTAATGACAATCTCAGATGGTGCTGTTTCTGATTTGGGCTGAGAGGCGGAGTCCACCAAATCTCCATTATGGGGACTTGCAGACATATCAGGAGATGTATAAACAGGACCTGAATCAGGACTGCTACTCACAGCACCATCTGCAAACAGAATCTGAAGGGGAAACAAGGTTTCAGAATTCTCAGAAGTCAAGAGGAGGCCGGTCCACAATGAACACTGTTTCCAACAATTTGGGGCTCAAAATATTCTAAAGAAGACAGGCTGATGGCAGCTCCCCATGCTTGGCACCAATAGGTACCATCAGAGGGGGATTTGGACCTGGAGACAGCAGAGAATATGATTTCACATTTCCCACCCAGTTCTGCCTTATTTCTTTTTCCTACCTTCTGTTGGATTTTATATATTTTTCTATTCTTCTTTATCCTTATTCTATGTAATTAGAAAATCATATAGATGACCATGTTCAAACAATTACATTAAAATTCATTATATTTTAATGCCTTCTTTCTGTTACCCATTACCAAGGATATCTGCCATCTAAAGTAACCACAGATACCCTTGTGAGTACCCATATGCACAGGCTCCCGTGAGTCTGACAAGGAAGTCATCTGTCCATGTGTCTCTGCCTGATTCTTCCTGGTCTCTTCAGGAGCTTGTGGGCTACCTGTGCAGTCCTAAGTAGCAAGGTGACACTTAAATGAGTGTCAACCCAGGCTGGCACTTGGTGGCCAGGATGAATTTGAAGTATGCTTTTAAGTACTAGAAATGTTTCACATGTCATGTTCTAAATTATTTTCTCCATTCGTTCTTATTATTTTCTACTGGAAATACTAGGGCATATATTACCTTTCCACACCTCTTAACTTGGGTCTCTCTGTTGCAAGTTACTCTACCTACCACTTGCCCATTCATAATTACTTTTAGTTTTTAAAAACTCTTGTAGTTTTTCACACAGCAGTTTTACACTTATTTTTAAATTACATTTTATTTATTTAATCACTGTGTGTGTGCATGTGTGCTTGTGTGTGTGTGTGTGTGTGTGTGTGTGTGTGTTTGTTAGTGGGTATATGAAGATCAGGTGCCATTTTTCCAGAGTCTCTTCCCTCCTTCCAACACATGAGTTCTGGAGATCAAACTCAGGTAGTTAGACTTGGTGGCCTTACCCACTGAGCTTTCTCACTGCCACTAGAGCAGTTCATTTTTTAAAAATAGAATGTTAACTTTAGTGTCTGTCTATATGGTTTTTACTCATTTAAAATTTATGTTAAGTATTTATTGTTAGGTCTTTTAAACAATATTGAATCTGTCATTTGCCTTTTTGGAATTTCTTAGATACCTAGTCTTATCTCTTGTTTGTGGCTCTTGGTGGTATAATGCCTGTTTTTACATGTCCTTCCCTCTGATAATTTTTGAAGGTTGGGCTAAGGCATGTGGTGTCTGGGTTTTAGGGCTTCTGATTTTAAGTTTCTATAAAATGAGTTTACCAGCAGAACTGCCCTGATTTTCAGAGCCCAGAGGTAGAAGTGTCTATTCCAAATCCTCCTTTAAATTTTGAAGTTTTTCCTCTTGTATGTATTTTAAACTTTGTCCCTATTTCTCCATCATTCTGAACCTGTCTGCCTTGCATTTTCTAGAAATTCTCTAAATACTTCATATACTAGTGAAATATTTTGTTGTTTTCTAGTACTGTTGGAAATTTAGTATTTAAGAATAATTTTCCTTAGTGTTTTAAGGTGGGTTGAAAGGGAAGGGAGGTAAACATATTTAGTCTGCAACCTAACACATACAAAACATACACACACACACACACACACACACACACACACACACACACACACACACACACATTTGCATCCTGGCTTTCATAGACAGCATTCTCCCTAACTATACTGTTTTTCATTTATCATTTTGTGAGAGCCACAGTTACATTTAAGTTTTAATTACTATACCTAAGAAAGAGATCCATGAAACAAAAATGCCTCTGATCTTTAAGCCTCTTGCTCAAGAAAAACAGTTCCTGAAATGTTCAAGGCTATTACTTATGGGAGACAACAAGCCAATTGTTTTTCACTCCCCTAAACAAATCCCCTAAACTGATCCATGTGCGCCAACATGCTTGATTGCATGTGGGCAGGAGGATCACAGGCTGGAGGTATATCAGGATGTATGCTTGCCCCTAATTGGACCTGATGGGAAATGCAATGAATTACAAACTGCTGCAAACTGTGATTCTGAGCCACTTTCCAGGAACCTGGGTGGGAACCTAGTCAGAGCCCATCCACCTGGCTAGTATTTAATTAAAACTTGCTTCAGATTTGGCTTTAAACTGTGCTGGTAGTCTTAATCTCGATTGGTGGGACTAACAATTTTAAGGTACCCTTGTAATTTTTGGGCTGCCTATGTGTTGTAGCTCCTTACTCATAGTCCAACTGTCTTTTACTTTGCTGTGGGGGAAGTCATTTAAATACTATAAACCTGTGTGGATCCATCCAGCATATACTTGATAACAGTGCCCTGGCTGGTGATAACTCTTGATGCCTCCTGCTCCATGGGTGGCATCACTGCTTTATAGAATTCGTAGTGCTTTATCCTTTGGGGGTAGCTCTGACGGATCATGAGGTCCCAGGTGGGTTCTTCATCTACAATTGGGTGATCTTAAAAGAAAAAAGAGAAGAAAGCTATTGGTGGGGTGACTTGGGGCTGGGATTTTTACATTCTTTCTTGTTTCTATTCTAGTATCTGTGTTTGAGGAATATGGAAGTTTCCTTCCAGTCATGACTGATAGCCCAGAAAACTTGTTCTTTGCTGACCTTTTGCACTCCCATTTAGTAAGATCATTTCAATAACATAGTAAATAATACACCCTTTCTAGAATATGTTTATAATCTAGAGTCCAGTGTATGTCAGGGTGAAATGATTTTGGGACAGAATTTCAGTGTCTTAGTGATTCCATTTTCTGGAACGGCATGTCACTCTGAGCTTTTGTGCCATGGTAGTCAGTGCTCTGGTATCCTCTGGTTGTTCAGAGCCACAAGCCTAAGCACCCTTATCAAACACAGCTTCATTCAAACCTTTTCTAACTTACCAGTCACCCTTCAAAATTAACACAACCCCCCATCTCTAGCCACATCCAGACCACTCTCAGTGTTCTTCTGCTCCCTGGTAATCAAGAAGAAAAGCATTTGATAAACACCTTCCCCCCAAAAAACCCCAGAGTACTATGAGGTAGCTTTTCAATCTGATGCAATACCATTTGTCAATTCTTGTTATTTCTTGAGATCCAGCCAAAGCAACAAGGAACAGAGTTAAGAGACAATCTGCAGGATGAGAGAAGATTTTTGTGGTGGTTTATCTAATGGGGGCTCAAGTTTTAGGTATATAGAAATACCTAAAAGAGAAAATAATCCAACTAAATGGGTAAGTGAACTGAATAGATAGTTTCCAAGTGAACAAATACAAGACCAATAAATACATGAAAACGACCTTAATATCCTTGGCCACCAGGAAAATGCAAACAAAAACTACACTGAACTTCCATCTTACCCTAACCAGATGGTTAGCATCAAGAAAATGAAAAATGACAGCATTGGATACAGGAGGAAAAATATCCTTATACACTGTTGAATGGACTCAAATTTGATCTCAGATGTAGCTCTCACCAGGTTAAATAACAAAGTCTTTCACGTACCTATTTATTCATCAAAATAAGCAAGAAACCACGCTTAAAGCCAACAGAAGTAACAAACTATGTAAAATTATGGGATCAAGAGAGGGTTTCTCTATTCACTTCATGTGCACTCATCAAATTCTCTTCATACTCACTGCCTGCTGTTTACCTCAATGAACAAAAGTACTGTACCTGTGGCCCCCTGCAAGGGCAGGAAGACAGAGTCACATCAAAACCATTAAGAAAGCCACATTTATCATCACTAGACCAAGATTAACTTCCCTTCTCTGCCTTCTAAGAGTCAGGTGACCCTGGACACATTACTGCGCCTCCACAAGTCTCTACTTCTATATTTCATAGATGGAGTTATCAGTACCATTGACATAAGATTTGTGTTTTTACATGCATGTCAATAACTTTCATCATAGCAAGTGCTTGAAAAACTTACCATTATTGTTATGATTTTTATTGAAAATTACCCATCATTCATCATCAACAAGCATAACTTGTAAGAAAAGATACAATTTTCAATGGTGGGATTTTCTGTGTGAGCTTTTGACCCAGGCCTTCTGGCTCATCCCAGTCAACACTCACCTGTAGATTCTTGCCCAATGAAGGTCAGCAGGAGCCCATTGGGGCAAGATACGTTTAGGTTTTGAAAGGTGGGAACATAAGGTGGTTCCTGTACAACAATCTCTGGCTCTACTTCTTCCTGTACAAAATTCTGTACATGAAAAAGAGCTTGTCATTTTCTAAGCAAGACACCTTTATTTCACTCAAACAAGGGTTTGTCAAACAATAATACTGTTAGTAAGTAAGTAGACCCTGTAACAGATTCTAAAAAAGATGCAAGAATTTTCACTGTCATCAAGCTTATACTCTACTTGCTTACTGACAAGATATGACAGAGAATAGTATCAAATGTAACATTTTCCCTGAGAGAAGGCAGCACTGAAGTTAACAGAGGTCACTGTGAAAACATTTATTTAGCAAACTGACTTAATGTAATTTGAATGGTGACCCTATTTGGATGTGTAGGACATGGGCAACACTATGGTATGAGTGTTAGCATCCTCCCAAACACAAATGGTGGAACTTGGTGTTCAAAATGATGGTATTAAATAGGCCTTTGGGGAACTGATTAAATCCCAATGTTTGGCTTTCATGATTGGGATTAAGGTATTTATAAATAGGCATTTAATGGAAAGGGTTTACTCTTTCTGTAAAGTGATAGAACACAGAAGGTACCATCCATAGGAACTTGTTCTCGTGAGACACAGAGTTGGCTAGCACCTGCTTATGGACTTTCCTGCCTCAAATTGAGCAATTAATTTCTGTTGTTTGTGAGTTACTTAGTCTAAGATATTTTGTGATAGTAGTTAAAAGAGATTTAAGGTAGTGTTGTGGAAAAACAGTAACTCTATTGATGTATGTGTGTGTGAATGCTTCTGTGTGTGTGTGCATTCGTGTGTGTGTGTGTGTGTGTGTGTGTGTGATAATAACAAAGAAATGGAGAGGAGGTTGAGAAGAGACTTGGGAGGACTTGGAGGAAGGAAAGAGAGTGTAGGGAAACAGTACAATTTTATTTTAATTTTTAAAAAGTAACATTGAGGTAGAAAGATTGGAAATCTATAGCCATGTTCACCTACCTTCTTCTCTTCTTCTTTTGGATGTTCCTCTTCTTTAAGGGACTCTTTGGGTTTTTCTTTGCCCTTTATTTTTGCTTTCCCTTTGCCTTGAGGAATAGTCACTATAGTGGGAATCACAGTTGCAGTCAGAGCTGAAGGGATATTCATCATTGTGTCCAACTCAGAATCTGTAACCTCTAGAAACCGGAAATGGGGAAATGAGAAAATTAAATATTTATATTTCATATGCTTGTTAAATGACACATCTCAAAAGTTGGTTCAAGTTGACATTAACTTTTGCTATGAGAAACATGTTTTACCATTCAGATATATTTCAGGGAAAACAGTTGTTTTGAAAATCAGATTGTATTTAGAAAATTTGAAATGCTTAATGCTTTAGTGTGATTGATAGTCTAATCATTATCTCACAGAGCTTCACCTTCAAGTCTGTTGTGCACTCTACTAATGTTCTCTTTATTTATTTGTTAAATGGAGCTCTTAAAAGTCCTAGATTCACAATAGTTAGACCAATGCTGAGACAAAAGAACCCTAGAACACATTAAACACGAGCTAATGCAAACAAGGAAATCCCACAGAGGCATAGCTTATTTTTGTCTAAGGTGAGTGAAGTAATTTTCTTGTAGGCAACCTATTATCTTCGGAGTTTTATAGGTTTGGGAACTCTAAAAGGTTGATGACAGTGTGTATGTGTGTGTGGGGTCCAGAAGACCCCTTTTATCTTGTCATCCGTTTTCCTGCAGGATCCTCTTCTAAAGTGCTGATGAGAGGTGACACTGTGTGTGTGTGTGGAGGGGCATCCAGAAGACTCCTTTTATCTTGTCATCTGTTGGTGACACTGTGTGTGTGTGCATGCGTGCGTGCATGCGTGCCTGTGTGTGTGTGTGTGTGTGTGTGTGTGTGTGTGTCTGTCTGTCTGTCTGTCCAGAAGACCCCTTTTATCTTGCCATCTATTTTCTGGCAGGACCCTCTTCTTTGACCTGTCCTTACCTTCCTGGTCAATTTAACTCCCCTCTGACTCATTCATACATTTCAGTCTGGCAGATGCTCCCAGGGCCCAGGTTCTCTATGTTCTCAAGTCTGGCCACCAAAATAATTACTCATTGAATTTAAGCAAATGCCCAGGTCTTTCTTTGACCTACTGCATCAGGTCCACAGGGAAGGAGGCCCAGCTAGATAAATGTTTGAAATACTGCTTGGTTGTCACATGCCATCTGGGCTGTGCATATCTTAGAAGTTATCTATCTTATTCTCTTCAAGGGCTCCAAATATCACTTATGTGTTGACTGTACAATAGCCATAGTAGGTATGTCTTTTCTTCTCAACTCCAGATCCATATTTCTACTTTTGGACACCTCTTGGTGTGGTTCTAGGGACAGTTCAAACTTTTAAGAAACAAGATTATGATGATTCATGGCAATCTGCCCAAGAGGAGCTGCATAGTATGGAGGTAATATGACCACCACAATCTACACTGGCACAGAGTTTTAAAGCTAGATGGCAGAGGGATTACCTATTGCTTTTGCAATGTTTAAAAAATATCCACTTAAAGTTGGTGGCGCATGCCTTTAATCCCAGCCCCCGGGAGGCAGAGGCAGGCGGATCTCTGTGAGTTCGAGGCCAGGCTGGACCGAAAGCCTCCAAAACAGAGAAACCCTGTCTCGTAAAACCAAAAAAAAATATCTACTGTAGTTAGATCCTATTAAAGTTTGTGGGAATCCACAGATTTCTTAATTGGTTCTAGGCAAAGTGACATACTATTTTGTGAATTGAAAAGGAAAGAGTTTTCAGGTAGAAAATTTGTTTCTTGAAAGTAGAGCTGAGAAATGCTCCAAGGTGTTCAATGAATAGCTCCTTTTAGACCCATGTTCAGAAGTACACTAGTCCTGAAGTTCTACCATTACAGGACTTATAGAAACATTATTCCGTAGAAACCCAAGAGGACTTCCCAGAAGACCTGGTTTTCCTTGCACCAAACTAACAGAATTAATTTCATGAACTAGTGAACAAAGATGATCAGAATATACATATATGTGTAGAAGTGACTATGTAAAAGATTATACAAATGATAGGAGGGATTTGAAAGTGAATGTACTGCTGTATGAAGTAGAGGAAAAACTGTACATGTTCACATCTATGTGCACATGAGGGCCCCCCACTCCATACACCACATATCTCCACATTGCAGGGGAAAGCTATGTGAAGAATTAAATCAGAACAGGTTTGTTTGCTGGTAAGTGTAAAAGTTGAGGAATCCAGGGTCCGCCATCCTGGGACATTTTCCTTGTGGTGCACACTGTGTGCATCTCACCTGGTGCCATCCCATTTGCTCCATAGTAACTTATTGAGAGGCAGATTCCATTTTCTAAGGTGGCAGAAAATGATCCAAACTTGCTGACAGCTTCATTCTGTATCTGTGATGTTTCTAAAAGACAAAATCATATCAAGGATATATTTCCATTTTTCTCCAGAAGTGTAAGCAGAATTCAGTGGGAATTCTGGGAATGGGGTCTTGGCTAGTCTAATACCATCAATTCTAAAACAATTGATTTGGCTCTTACCAAGGATTCAGGGAAGTGAATCAGAATTGCAGGGGTGGAATGTGAGACTCTTGTTTGAAGGGCTTTGGTTCAAAACAAAGAGAGAATATAAACCAGTTAATGGCTTAGCCATATGCTGGTTATCTATCTGAGACCATTCCCATAACTTTTCAAATGAAAACCACCAGGTCGGTCTGAATGTCTTCACATTTAAAATCACTTTCTTAAATCCCCACATTTATAATCCCTTACAGTTTCAAACACAATTGAAAATGGTTTTAATCAAGCAGAAGTCTTAAAAGAAATTTTGTTAAAGCACATTCTTGAGGCATATGTGTAGGATCACAAACTTCCTACTTTATTTTCATTTTATCATCTGCTCCATCATCATATAATAAACATGGGACAGTGTTGGTTTAAAATACACTAACCCACGAAGAGACTATTTCCTGACTGAAAATTTTTGAATGTTCAGTGAGACAACAGCAACAAAGGATAATGCTTCATGAGAATAAAAACGTAATTCATAATCTGGGAGAAAATGTTTTGCTAAAGACACATCTGACAAAGGGCTGTTACATAAAACATAAAAGAACTCTTAGCCAGCAATAGGAAAACAAGCCAAGGAAGAAACATCCCAAAACCCTTTACAGACCTCTAATCAAAGAAGACCCACAGATAGAAAATAAGCACATGAACAGGGGGTCAATGTTATATGACATCAGGGACATGCATATTAAAATACTGAGTAAAACTAGGCACCTGTCATAATGGAGAAAACCTAAAACAAGGATAACACTGGAAGCTGGGAAGACTGGAACAACAGAGCTCTTTTTCAGTGCTGAAAGACAGTTTGGCAGATCCTAGGAACGCTACTCTCTATCTTACCACATAAGCCAGCAACCGTGGTCCCTGCTGTTTATCCATAGTAGTTAAAATGTATGCCCTCACAAAAACCATATACAGATATACATGGCACTTTCATTCATAATTACTCAAATGTGGTCAGAAGCAAGATGTTCTTCAGTTGGATAGGGGATATTAAACTGGAATACCCAGGTAATCATGTATTATTTAGTGATAAGAGGTAATGAAATATCCTGGAAACATAGCTCAGTTGTAGAATACTTTATAGCACATGCAAGGTCCTAGTTTCAATTCCTAATTAGATACACAGAGACAGTGACAGAGACAGAGACAGAGACAGACAGACAGACACACACACACACAAACACAAAGAATGATAAAAAGACATTTAAATGTGTAGTATCAAATTTAAGAAAAGCCAATTAGAACAACTTTATATGGAAAAACAAAAGACACAGGATAGCAAAACAACCCTGTACAATAAAAGAACTTGTAGAGGCGTCACCATCCCTGACTTCAAGCTCTATTATAGAGCTGTAGTCCTGAAAACAGCTTGGCATTGACATAAATAGACAGGAAGCCCAATGGAATCCAACTGAAAACCTTGATATGGACCCATACACCCACGAACACCTGATTTTTGACAAAGAATTTAAAATTATATAATGGAGAAAAAAAGCATCTTCAACAAATGGTGCTAGCATACCAGGATGCTGGCATGTAGAAGAATGCGGATAGATCCATGTCATCGCCATGTACAAAACTTAAGTCCAAATGGACCAAAGACCTCAACATAAATCCAGCCACACTGAAACACTTAGAAGGGAAAGTGGGTGGTACCCTTGAATTAATTGGTACAGGAGACAGCTTCCTGAACATAAAGACCAGTAGCACAGGCCCTGAGATCAACAATTAATACATGAGACCTCCTGAAACTGAGAAGCTTCTGTAAGGCAAAGGACACAGTTAGCAAGACAAAATGGCAGCTCACAGGATGGGAAAAGATATTCATCAATGCCACATTTCACATAGGGTTGATTTCCAAAATATACAAAGAACTCAAGAAGCTAGTTACCAAAACACCAAATAATCCGATTAAAAAGTGGGGCACAGAACTACAGAATTAAATAGAGAATTCTCAATAGAGGAGTCTCAAATGACTGAAAGACACTCAAGAAAGTTCTCAACATCCCTAGCCATCCAGGAAATGCAAATCAAAACAACTCTGAGATACCATCTCACTCTTGTCAGAATGGCTAAAATCAAAAGCACCAATGACAGTTTATGCTAGAGAGGATGTGGAGAAGGGGGAACACTTTTCCACTGCTGGTGGGAGTGCCAACTTGTACACCCACTTTGGAAATCAGTATGATGGTTCCTCAGGAAATTGTGAATCAGCCTACCACAAAACCCAGCAATTCCACTCTTAGGCATATACTCAAAAGATGCAAATTCATACAACAAGGACATCTGTTCCACTATGTTCATAGCAGCATTATTTGTAATAGCCAGAAACTGGAAGCAACCTAGATGCCCCTCAACTGAAAAATGGGTAGAGAAAATGTGGTACATTTACACAATGGAGTACTACTCAGCAGAAAAAAAAAACAGTGGAATCTTGAAATTCGCAGGGAAATGCATGGAACTAGAAGAAACCATCCTGAGTGAGGTAACCCAGTCACAAAAAAACAAACATGGTATGGACTCACTCATCTATGTATTTTAGACATAGAGCAAAGGATTACCGGTCTACAATCCACACTGCCAGAGAAGCTAGGAAACAAGGAGGACCCTAAGAGAGACATACATGGTCCCCCGGAGAAGGGGAAAGGGACGAGACCTCCTAAGGTAATTGGGAGCATGGTGGGGAGACGAGAGGGAGTTGGGAGAAAGAGAAGGGGAGAAGAGGAGGGGAGAGGAGGACACAATGGAGCAGGAAGATTGAGCCTTCACCCAGTAGCTGATGGAATCAGAAGCAGACACCCATAGCTAAACACTGAGCTGAACACCTGGAATCCAGAATCCAGATGCAGAGAGGGAGGAGTGATAAGCAAATGGGTGAAAACCTTGCTGGAGAAACCCACAGAAACAGCTGACTTTAACAAGGAGGAGCTCATGGACACCAGACTGATAGCTTGGAAACCAGTATAGGACTGATCCAGACTCCCTGAACGTGTGTGTCAGACAGGAGGCCTGGGTAATATATGGGGCCTCTGGTAGTGGATCAGTAATTATCCCTAGTATACGAATGTACTTTGGCAGCTCATTCTACATAGAGGGATACTCTCTCAGCCTAGACACATCGGGGAGGGCCTAGGCCCTGCTTCAAATGATATAACAGACTTTGATGATCCCCCATGGAAAGCTCACCCTTCCCGGGGAGCAGAAAGGAGTTAGGATGGGGGTCTGTGGGGAGCAGGGGAGGAGGGGAGTGAGAGGGAACTGAGATTGAAGTTTAAACAAGCTTGTTTTTATAATTTAAATTAAAAAAGAAAAGAAAATAGAAACAATTGGAGTTTTAAATGCATAAAGGTATTTTACAAGGCATTTTCTGTGATTTAAAAACATCGCACCCCAACTAAACCTTGTTCAGTATTCAACAGATGAAATGAAAGCGAGTGGTGGCCATGGTTAAGATTCAACTTGATTTCTAGGAAAATCAAGTGAAAAAAAACAGAATAAAAAAGCGCAAACAAACATCTCAAAAGCCTAGGGAAAGCATTAAAACACACGCAAGCTAGGGAGAAGATGTAAGCGATAGGGTGGTAAAATCTTAAAACTGTACATCATGAGGGAAAGTAGAACAAATAAAGAAAGGTGGGCAAAAACATCTGATGAAGATCTGAAACCAAGACCCCAGTTGCAATCTCCTTAGACCACAGGAGCGTGTCAGACTCTAACCGGTAATCTCTAAGATTCAGCAAGAGCAAGCAGGAGTCCACAGAAAGACGTGTGGTAAGACAAGCTCCATAAGCAAGCTAGAGTCAGGAAGAGCAGGCATGTTGGGTGCACGTGCCCACACATCCCACCAGAGGAGCTGAGACAAGAAAACTAAACGAGTTACCAGAGAAACCCTCATCAAGAGGCAAGAAGGGAGCACAGGCAAGCACTACTCTTGCTTGTTTGTTTGTCTGTTTTTCTGTCAGGTTATCTGCTGGAGCTGCTCACATCAGAAACCAACATAGCTTTTCTGAAAAAGGCCAGACAGTAAATGCTTTAGGACTTGTAGGCCACGCACAGCCTTTATCACATGCTCTCTGCTTTTCTATGGTGTACTGCTTTACAGACACTACATCTGTTCTTAGTTCATGCATCATTCAGAACCAGATCATAGGTCAAATCTGAACTGATGTTTGCAGACTGGAGAACACTAAAGCTAAAATGAACAATCGATAATGTGAGCAGACAAAAGACAATCAGGTTCCTTAGTGGTAAAGCTGAACACCAACCACGATTTAACTACGCAAAAGGGACATGATTAAATCACATACCCATAAATAAAAGTTCATTTATTAACTTTTGTAGAAAGCATCTAAGTAACATAGAATCACTTCAATGATAAACTGTGATATACATGTCTATTAATGATATATTATCAAATAATTTTAAGGTCTTGTTCTCAAAGACTAGTGAATGGGACAATGCTTATATTGATATACCAAGGAAGAAATAAACTTTGAACAGTGAGTATCATGGAGGTGGTGGAATTCTAATTAGTTTCTTTAAATATTTCAAATTATATATAGTGAGTGTGTATGGCTTATGTCTGAGTGTGTGAATGAGCACAACTGTGCATGAAACTGTATGTGCCTTTGGGGAATCAGAGGTGGATCTCAGGTGCCGTCGTCTTCCATTATTCTCTGCTTTATTGTTAGAGGCTGGGTCTCTCACTAAACTTGGGGCTCACTCTGGTTAGAATGCTTTGGCTAGTGAGCAACAAGGATCCTGTCAAGTCGGCTTCCCAGTGCTGGATCACAGGCATGTATCAAAGAACATGGCATGTTATGTGGGTGCTAGGGGTCTGAACTTGAGTCCTCATGATTGCACAGCCATCTACAACTTTACCAACTGAGCCATTTCCCCAGCCCCAATTAATACATTTTCATTAGCTATTCAAATGAAAAATTTTCTGCGCTAACTTCCTGGGTACGTTCAGCTTCTCATGCATTTTGTTCTTGAATTTGGAAAGTATCAGGGTAACTAGACTTATAGGCAAGACTTAATTAGTCCCACCACTAAGTGGATTTGAAAACTTTCCTAACATTAACTCATCTCCTTGCACAGTAATAGCTCATGTCACTTTGGATAGGAGGCAGTTAATTTTTCCAGATGGTGTTGCCTGGAGATACTATCAGGAGGTTTCACAGTGCTATATAGGTAATAAACTCATTGCAAGATTTGTGATTTCTTTTAAACCTTGTCTTTGAAGCCCAATATATTGGTGTTATAAAGTGAAAAGCTCAGGGAAGAGACCCTGTAGCTTGCAGTGCAGGGACCTGTAAGCCACAGACAGAATCAGTTAGAGAGGAGCTGAGTTCTGGTCTGCACAAACCAAGACTAAGATCCAAATGACCATTGTGCACAGTGTTGGCTTGCCTGGCTCCTTGCTGTGGCTATGAAAGCTGGAACCGGAGTTCTTATCGGGTGGCATCAAGATCCAGTCAACAGCCAACGTCAGATGGCTGTGCATGCCGCGTATATGCTCAGCACATTAGGGAAGACAAACCTACAAACACCAGCAGGCCAGCAAATGTCACAGGCAGCACCTGTGAAATCTGCATGTGTTGAATCCCAGGGAGGTCTGTGTGGTTCTGTCAGGGTCTGGTCTGGTGCGCTGTGTACCATCTGCCCTACCACGGAAGTAAAGACACTCACTCATTTCAATGTCTTGTTTAACTCTTTCCTCCTCTTCTTCTGAAGAGTAATCCTCTTCCTTGTGCTTTTGCACAATTTCCTTTGGGTCTTTCAGGTGAATTATAAAATTGTGTTTATCTTTTTTTATTTTCACTTTGATGAAAGTTGGGCCTGAGAAGAACCACAGGGTAGAAAGGTGGGCTGATTGAATATGCCATATGTACACCTTGACCAAATCCTTGTAGAACGCAGTACAGGATGAGACAGGGATTGGGAATGCCTGGGACTTGGCAACTCTATGCAAGGATGCCTAAGGGAGGATGGGCAAGGAAGTCTTTGCAAGCCTTCCTGTCCATCTCAAGCCAAATCACACAGAGAAAATACATCATCTGAGGCAGCGAATATTACTCAGCTCTGATACATCAAGTGAGCTAATTAACATGAAAAGTTTTAACATATTTGCATACAATAATATATAATGCACATATATTACATATATATTAATGTATTTGTGTATCTCTGACTATTCTCAAATTCATGACTCTTCCTGCCTCAACCTCATGAGTGCTGATGTCACAAATGTGTATTACCATACCTGACATCTTTAGAACTGATTATGGCAATATAATGACAACCACAATTATGTATATGCATGCATATACATATATACACCCACATATATGTGTATTCTATAATTACTATTACTCTGCAGGTTACAAACTGTTTTCACTATCTCTCCCTTTTATCTCCCTCTTAAATCCCGCTTTTCATTTTCAACTGTGGTTTAGGTGTTTCTCAAAACTGATAGGATTAAGATGAAAATACCATATTTTCTATGAATCATCTGAAGTCTATATAAACTGTTCACATGGGCAAGTCTTGGAAAGATCTGAAATACCGGTGGCAGGTCCCTGAGCGCTGTGCTGCAGAGCACGAGTCAGAAACTCAAAGCATGTGTTTGCTTTCTGACATGACAGAGTGTTGTAATTACTATTATTAATTACCTATTTGCTTTTTACAGTTGATAATATACCATCTGCCTTTGATATAGAAGCATTTAAATTTTTTTTTTTAACAATTAGGATGCTCCTATCATTGTGTTAGGGTACACTCTGAGCTGACTGATTCCTGGCAGACCCTAAGCATGTGAAGTCTGAAAATGCAGTGTAGTGTAAACATGAGTGCAGTGGGCTGTCACCCCCCACACTCAGAAGCACAGTGCCCCATGCTGATCTCAAATGCACCAACATCTTCCGTGTCATTAACAGCTCTTACAGACGTACCTCGTTCAAACTTAGTCTTTTCTACTTCAATCTGTCCTCCATCAGAAGGATACAGATAGTAATTTCTCCCTGTGATTTGGATGGGTACATCTCCCATATTATAACCTCGGAACTAGAAGAGAACACATCGTGATTGGGTGTAGAACTGCAATTGACAATAATTAGCTTACTACGGTTAGTCAACTACAGTTTCCATAAGCTTAAATTTTTAAAAATTAAACAATAATATCTGATACTTTGTAGGCTCAGAAACCCAAATCCATGTTATTACTAATTTTCTTTATTGTGAGAAAAGGGATTTTACTCAGTAGCTCAGACTGATCAGTAGCTCAGACTCATGATCACCCTGCTTGAGTGTCCACGAGGCTGAGATGACAGTTTTATGCCACTACGCTCAGACTCGTCAGAAATATCTAATTGTACTATAATTAGCAGGATTTTTAAAGGTTTATGATTAGAGCTTAAGAGATGACTCAGCCATTAAGACCCTCTTGCAGAGGACTGACATTTAGATCTCAGTGCCCATATAAGGCCTATAACTTTAATTCCACGGGGATCTGTTGCCCTCTTCTGGCTTCTGTGGGTACACACACATAAATAAAAAAGTCATTTATTTAATAAAAGTCTGTCATTAACATTCATCTGAGCATTTATAATCTGGCCCAAATAAAATCATGCTCTGTCATAAAGGTAACACAAGTTCATTCATTTTCTTTTTTAAAGTGAAGTATATTGTTTCTTTTGTTTTGTTTTTTGGCTTTTTGAGATAAGGTTTCTCTGTAGCTTTGGAACCTGTCCTGAAGCTCACTCAGGCTGGCCTCAAACTCACAGAGATCTGCCTGTCTCTGCCTCCCAAATGCTGGGATTAAAGGTGTGCTCAGCCACCACCCAGCAAGTGAAGTGCAGTATTGATTCTTGATTGGCTAAGAGGGCATATGAAAAGGACATTTTTAGCATTAGATTTTGCTACTACAGCTGCAGGGCATTCATATACATCTTAAAACCCTAGCATAAATGGGATGGAGTCATAGCTGAAAAGAATAGAACAGGGCATTTCTCTCCAGTTCTTTCCTCACTGTTTTTTCTCATAAATGGACACCCAAGGGAGAATCAGCAAAGACGGGGTTTAACCAAAGCATTTAAGCAAGAAATGTGGCACCACACACAATGGCATCTAAGTACACTCAGAAAATCCAGCCAGATGAGTTGCTCGTGCAGTTGCCTGTTTACGTTTTCAATGCTTAAAACATTTAGTCCTTGGGACATACTTCTATCTTTACAGCCCCTGGTAATCTAGTTTCATGATGGGAGAAACAGGCCTGAGGGTGTTCCCATTTTGGTGTTTGGTTACGCAGAAGAGTCTTGATTCTAGACAGAAATAGGAATTCAAGTCTAGTCCATAGACAGCAGGAAAAAAACTTGTTTTCCCCTAAACTGTTACAAGTATCCCCAAGAATTTTCAGAGTTGCTTTACCGGGTAAACTATCTCTGGTTCTGGAAGTGGGACAGATTCCTCTATCATTTCCATGATCTTTACGGACTCTTCCTTAGGTTTCTCCTTGGAAGAAGATTTTTTCTTCATAGCCTTAGTATCTTCTTTGTCTGCCTTATCCTTGCCTTTCCTTTTCCCGACTTCTTTCCCCTTCTTCTCTGCTTTCTTCTCCTCCTTCAGACGCTCCTCCTCTGCTAACCTCTCTTGTTCTTCCTTCCATGCCTGTGGACACAGCAAACAGCTTACTAGGGGTTTTTCATAAATATCAAATGTGGGTTGCATTTGGGTTAATTTTGCAGTAGGATGTTTCTAAGTGTCATTTCTGGCATTTTGAAACATTGAGCCAAGAGCCTTACTGTTATCTTTGTCTCTCTCTCACTCCCAAGTTGTATATGCTCACCCCTGTCTGTCTCCTCAGAGACTTCTCTTCATTTCTGCTTCTTCTGTAACTTTCTGGTCTAATTTACACTGTTCAGATTTCTCTCATTGGCCTGTCTCCTTTCCTTCAGTTCTCAATTTATATCCTAAATATACTTGATCAGCAAAATGGTAGGCTAACCAGAGAAGCATTCCCAGATAAGGATATCTCAAAAAGGATGGACAAAATACATTTTTTAAAAAAGAGTCATCAGTTTTCAAGCATGTTGGTAAATACTTGCAATTTCATCACTTGAGAAGCTGAGGGAGGGTATTAAGACAATGTGGCTACATAATCTCAAATATGACAAGTTATGAGTTGATACTAGTTCACAAAAAATCACAAAACACAAGGAACTAAGCCACATGATCATCTCACTTGATGCTGAAAAAACCTTTGACAAAATCCAACAACCCTTCATGATAAAGGTCTTGGAGAGATTTGGGATAACATGAACATACCTAAACATCATAAAAGCTATTTACAGCAAACCAACAGCCAACATCAAACTGAATGGAGAGAAACTCAAGGCAATTCTTCTAAAATCAGGAACAAGGCAAGGATGTCCCCTCTCCCCATGCCTCTTCAATATTGTACTCAAGTTCTAGCTAGAGCAATAAGACACTTTGAATAAAATCTGAACAACAACTTTGAAAGTATATCTGCAAAAGAAATCAAAGAGGATACCAGAAAATGGAAAGATCTCCCATGCTCTTGGATTGGTAGGATCAACATAATAAAAATGGTCATCTTGCCAAAAGCAGTCTATAGATTCAATGCAATCCCTATCAAAATTCCGGCACAATTCTTCACAGACCTTTAAAGAACAATAATCAACTTTATATGGAAAAACAAAAGGCCCAGGATAGCCAAACAACCCTTTACAATAAAGGAACTTCAGGAGGCATCACCATACCTGATTTCAAGCTCTATTATAGAGTTATAGTCCTGAAAACAGCTTGGTATTGGCACAAAAATAGACAGGTAGACCAATGGAACCGAATTGAAAACCCTAATTTTAACCCACACACCTATGAACACTTGATTTTTGACCAAGAAGCTAAAACTATACAATGGAAAAAAGAAAGCATCTTCAACAAATGGTGCTGGCATAACTGGGTATTGGCATGCAGAAGACTGCAGATAAATCCATGTCTATCTCCTTGCACAACACTTAAGTCCAAATGGATCAAAGACTTCAACATAAATCCAGCCACACTGAAACTCTTAGAAGAGAAAGTGAGAGATACTCTTCAACGAGTTGGTACAGGAGGCCACTTCCTGAACATAACACCAGTAGCACAGACACTGAGATCGACAATTAACAAATGGGACCTCCTGAAACTAAGAAGCTTCTGTAAGGCAAAGGACACAGTCAACAAGACAAAAAGGCAGTTCACAGAATGGGAAAAGATATTCACTAACCCCACATCTAAGAGAGGGCTGATCTCCAAAATTTACAAAGAACTCAAGAAGCAAGTCTCCAAATCACCAAAGGATCCAATTAAAAGGTGGAGTAAAGAACTAAATAGAGAATTCTCAATAGAGGAGACTAAAATGACCAAGAGACACTTAAGAAAGTGCTCAACATCCTTAGCCATCAGGGAAATGCAAATCAAAACAACTTTGAGATACCATCTTACTCCTGTCAGAATGGCTAAAATCAAAAACACCAAAGACAATTTATGCTGGAGAGGATGTGCAGAGAGGGGAACACTCCTCCACTGCTGTTTGGAGTGCAAACTCAAACAGCCACCTTGGAAATCAGTATGGAGATTCCTCAGAAAAAAATGGGAATAAGTCTACCACAAGACCCAGCAATTCCACTCTTAGGCATATATCCAAAAGATGCAAATTCATACAACAAGGACATCTGTTCCACTATATTCATAGCAGCATTATTTGTAATAGCCAGGACCTGGAAGCAACCTAGATGCCCCTCAACTGAAGAATGGATAGAGAAAATGTGGTACATTTACACAATGGAGTACTACTCAGCAGAAAAAAAATGGAATCTTGAAATTCACAGGTAAATGAATGGCACTAGAAGAAACCATCCTGAGTGAGGTAACCCAGTCACAAAAGACAAACATGGTATGTACTCACTCATATATGGATTTTAGACATGGATCAGGATAGTGCCAGTCTGCACTTCCACTGACAGAGAGTCTGGGAAACAGGAAAGAACCTAAGAGAGATATGCATGGTACCCCAGAGAAGAGGAATGAGGCAAGATCTTCTGAACAGATTAGCAACACGGCTAGGGGTGGGGGGGAGTGGGAGCTTGGAAGAAGAGTGGGGGAGTAGAGGAAGAGAGAGTAGGCCATGGGGGAACAGGAAGGTTGAATGGGGAGTAGAATAGGGGGAAGGGGGAGTCATAGGTTAGAAGGCAGATCTGGCACCAGTGAGACCTCTAGTGATCTAAAGGGATAACACCAACTGGCAAACTAAGCAATAGTGGAGAGACCATCTTAAATGCCCATTCCTGATAATGAACTTGATGTCTATAGCCATCCTAGAACCTTTGTCCAGTGACTGATGGAAGTAGAGGCAAATATCCACAGTTAAACACTGAACTGAACCCATGGAACCCAGTGACAGAGAGAGAGGAGCGATGAGCAAATTGGCAGAGAATGGGCTGGCAAAACCAGCAGAGACAGCTGATCTGAACAGGGGAGAGCTCTTGGACCCCAGACCGACAGCTGGGAGGCCAGCATGGGACTGATCCAGGACCCTTGACTGTGAGAGTCAGTGAGAAAGCCTGGGCAACCTATGGGGCCCTGGGCAGTAGATCAATGTTTATCCCTGGCACACAAACGGACTTCGTGTGTCTATAATACAAAGAGGGATGATCTCTCAGCCTGGACTCTTAGGGGAGTGCCTGGACCCTCCCCTGAGTTAAATGACAGACTCTAGATATCCCCTATGTGGAAGGAAGTGGGGATAGGGTGGGAGGTTGGGGGGATGGTGGGGGGGTGCGGGAGGAGGGGAGGGAGAGGGAACTGGGATTGACATGTGAAGCAAGCTATTAAAGTAAAAAAATTACAAAAAACAAAAAATGAAAATATATCTGTGAAGATTAAAGATAAGGGACTTTAAATAAGAGTCATAAAGTAAGTTTCTAGTTACTTAAATAAACAAAACGAACTATCCAAAGTATAAGAAAGTAGGAGGTATGAAAATGACAAGGCGAGCTCACCAGTCCTCTTGGAATTAAGGCACAGCTTTTGAAAAGGCAATATTTGGTAGGATACTGACTGAGTCATTTCTAGTACTGATGATAGACATTGATCCCAGCATCCCCAAAGGTCAATAAATCTAAGCAGAAAATAACAGTGGTGTGCGGAACCCAGTTCATATTGATTTAAAGAGTTTACTGATAAATCTCTGGGGGTTTTAGGAGATAGTTGCTAAGCAAAGCTACCATCGAAAAAAGTCATATAAGTGCCATTAAGTACAATGCTCAAAACAAAGGCAACACGTGCTGAAAATGCAGTGATTTGTAATTATTGTATTAGATCTCATGATTCTCTGTGCTACATATTAAAAACATACTATACAGTGGTATGCAGATCCACACTGCTCCCAACTAAGTTTTTCACAGTGCCACATTGGCAGCTTGAAATCAGCCACTCTTGGAGTATTCACACTACAGACATCAGCGAATGTTATATCATGGGGACTGATTGCCTATTGATTGACTGCGCTAAAAAAAATCAATGGGTAGGATATTAGAAATAAGAATTTACTTAAGTACCTTTAACCACTGCACTGCAACTGGAGTGAAAAATGAGAAAACACTCTTTCAGAATTCAAATTATTTCCTTGAGTCTGTAAAACTGCTCTTGTTATTGATAAGCAAATGGGACATGTCCTTTTATTGTTTCACTTTTGACTCTTTAACATAAATGAAAATATTAATCAGTATTAATAATGCAATTATACTTGTTTGTCAATTGTAACCATAGTCTGTGTAAGGATATAACTTAGCAAATATCCATGAAAACATATTTGAAGCATTACCTTGCTAAATGAACTTTGCAATGAAGATTACTATAAGATTAGTTATTATTTATAAATTACATACTAAATTTGCCATCAATGAGATTTTACTGGAAGGTTATTTGTGTACACATATGCACATTTTTGTTTTGCTAGAGATCAACTGCTAAATGCTTACCAGATGATCACAGAATATTTTCAAGTCAGCTAAAGAGAAAAGATAAGCTGGCTACAAAAGAATATAAAAAAGATAAGCTGTCTACAAAAGAATATAAAACGTGATAGTTTATTAACATCTATGATGTCAGCAAAGAAAAAGGAAACTGATGTCTTGAGAGACCTACAAGGAAATGAAAAACTCAACAAAAAATTGTATAAATAAAAAATATGTTTAATGAATAGGAGCAAAATAAAGCCATTTTCAGATAAGTAACAATTGACCTTAGTAGAAACTGTAAAAATTTGTATAAATAAAAAACTATGTTTAATGAATAGGAGCAAAATAAAACCATTTTCAGATAAGTAACAACTGACTTTAATAGAAACTGTAATATTATGATATAACGAGAACCAGATATTTGGTCTTCATTCCTGGATCCTGGCACAGAGCTCTCAAATCCCCTGGAATTTCATGAGTGATAGAACTGTCTTTTGTTCTAATGAGGCAACTCTTGGCAAACTCTTAGATAAGTTCCAAAATGGAGTAGAAGCTGGTCACCAAAAAGAACAAACCTAAGTGAGAAGCTAGAAACTTTTGGAGCCTTCCCCCTCCCTGCCCTACAACCTTCAAGAATGAGAGGAGCAGCAGATGGATTTAATAATTGATCATACTTACATGATGAAAAACCCATAGAAACTCCTAAACCACACAGTTTGGAGAAATACTGCATTGGTGTGCCTATGCTCTGGGAGGGTGACGCACCGCAGGGGCAGAAGGCTCAAACCAAAGCAGACCTGCATTTTCCCACAAACAAGCAGACACAACAGCTCTCTACCTTTGTGCACTCTTTGGAACTTGCCAGCTTTGACATTTCTTATTCCGGGAACTAAAGAGATAGCACATGAAAATAATCTGGAACGATTCCAGAAGCATGTATTAATTTTGTAGTTAAGAGTTGGAATAAAAATATGTGAACTAAATCAAACATTTTTGACAAAGGTAAAGAGCAAAGCAGCATGAACCAGTCACTGCCCTGGGTTGTGGTCATGTGAAAACAATAAGACATATATGCTCTTGAGGACTTGTCATGTGACTCCTGTGAACACACGGATCCTTTCAGGGAAGCTTCAGTCATCTCTGAGGTTTCAGTTAAAAAGATCATTCCCAGTGACTAAGGCAAATTATCTGTCTCAGGATAACTTTGGACTTGTGATTGATCTGTGAGGTTTGTCTTTTCTTGGGTTACCTTTAGAGAGCCTTCTAAAATGAAAGGGATCTTCTCTTTCTCTTTTTCCTTCTCTTGTTCTGGTACCTCTGTTTTGCTGACCATTTTGTTACCTAGAATCAGAGGAAACCAAACTTCTTAGCAACTCTGTAGAGTGAGGTATCAGAGAAGGAATGAGTCTCTGGGCTATCAGGGACTTCAAAGGCTACAGCTTCAGCTCCTCTTGTGTTTATCTCTAAATTCTCTCTTGCCATCTCCAGAACAACACCTGAGTGGTGCAGAGCCTTTGATGATGGTGTCTCACAATACATTCACAGTGCCTTGACATGTCACTTGAATTCCTTTTCCTAAAATTTTCACCTAATTACTCTTTGTTTAGTATCTCAAAACCACAGGAACATACCTATTGTTCCCTCTCATACAGAGCCCCTCCCCCTTTTTGGTCAGTGTTATCATCCTGTCTTCCAAACACTGTGACATCTTTTCTGACAGGAGTGACTCAGTGTACCTGCCAGGTACATTACAAGCCAAAGTTATGGCTTTCTGCAGCACCTAGATACTAAGCTTTTGCTTTGCCCAGTAGCATTAAAAAGCCAGTCAATATTTTCCCTGCCAGTAGCTAAGTACTTGGTCAGCCTTCATTTTATGTCTTATAGAGTTCCACTTATCACTCTACATACTTGGTAGAGTCTTGTTGGACTTCCACTGAAAGAAGCTCAGTTACTGACAATATAAGCATTTTGCTGGATACCAGAGGGTTCCTTAGCAGCATAATTTAGGTTTTACTTTAGAGCCAGGTCATATATAAACTTCTCGAGTAACAAAAAGAGGTTGCAAATTTTTGTAAGTTTCATAGCTTGGTCTCATTATGAGACATTACTTTCAGCTTTAGCTATCATACATATTACTACCGGAGACAATTTCTTTTCTACAGACAGAGAAATATCTATACTTTCTAGATGAAGTCCATATATCACTTCTTAATAAAGTGCCCTCCATAAAAATTACCTTCTCTCTGTTACCTTCTTTTCTTTTTCCTAATGGGCCCCAAGTTTTAGAAATTAGCTAAATTAGAGACAAACATAATCAAAGATATGTGCTAAGGTCTAGTTAGGTCCATGCCATAGGCATCTGAGAAACTCTCCCCATTTCCTTCTATATTCGTACCTCCGGGTGGTCTTTGGATAGATTTTTGTTTTGCCATTTGATAAAGGGTCTGACTTAGTATTGCTGTTGGATTCTATAATTATCCTGTTGAGACCCACTAACTCTGAGTACTTCACACACTGTCAATAAATTTAGATGGTGGAACCCATTGGTTCTATCTGTGAGGAAATTGGCATTTCCTTATCTCATCATATTTGATCTGTATAATAGATTAAGTTTTCCAGAGTTTATAGGAGATGGGATTGTGTTGAACATGTCTGACTCAGATACAAGAGCATCACACTTGGAATGCTGCTGTTTCATTTATTAGGAAAAGTGAAGACTCACAGGCATTTGGGGGCAGTCCTTCTTAATCTCAGAAAATTCAGGTTTGACATGAAGATAGGAGAATGCCTTGGGGCCTCATTCCATGAATAAATGCACTGGTTACTTACTTTTAGATTTTTTGAGAGAAACACTTTTGCTAGGAGAAATTTTGGCAGCAGAAGTTTTCAGCTCTAGCTCAATCTTGGTCCTGTTGACTTCTTCAGCCATTTTGGCTTCCTGATACTTTGCTTCTTCCTCTGTGATCCAGTCTTGGATAGATTGCGCAATGAGTTCTAGGTAATTCCTAGATGAGACAAAGATAGGAAGCTGGGAAGTGAGAGTCCTTATTAAAGCTCGTGAGGGTCACGTGGTGGTGGCTCACAGCTTTAATCCCAGCAGCTGAGAGACACAGGCAGGAGGATCTCTGTGAGTTCGAGACCAGCCTGGTCTACAGAGTGAGTTCCAGGACAGGTTCCAAAGCTACAGAGAAACCCTGTTTTGAAAAACATAAACAACAAAGAAGCAAGCAAACAAAAAGCCTGTGAGGGCACTGGTAGAGATGGTCTGAACAAACTCTTCAAAAATGAAGTGATTTTGAATTGCCCAAGTGACAAAAAGGTCAGGTGTGGATCTTTGCTGAGGTTCTGAAAAATGCCCACTTCTCTTCACAGATAAAGATGTGAAGACAGTGAGGTCTTTCCCATTAAGTGAAGGAGGACTAAAGACTTTTTGGAAGGGTGTCCTTTTTAATGTATGTGTATGTGTGGTTCTATGTATGTGGGGTGCTCTTTGAGGCCAGAAGGGAACATCTGATCTTTCAGAGCTGGAGTTACAGGTAAGTAGGAGCCTCCTAATAATGGGTGCTGGAAACAGAACTCTGCTCATCTGTGGGCAGTAGGGGATCTTAACCACTCAGTAATCTCTCTAGCACCAATGATGAATGACCTTGATTAACACCAAGAGATGACTTCAGAGACAGTTGAAGAAACAATCACTGTCAACGTGATGCAGTACAGTCAGCCTCTTTTTAGGGTAAGTTTATAGGACATTAGAAATCCTTTTAATTGGCCACCAGCCACTACAGTCACTTCATTAAAGAACTCCCCCTTTGTCTTGCTATAAAGATTACTGGTCTTGGGGGCATCTGCTTCCAAAACAGATTCCCTAAACTGCTCACACATTCATGCTCCTCCCAGGAAACTGCTGCTTACTAAGAGTGAGTCATTGCTGTTTGCAAATCTATTCAAACAATTTGTACTGATGAGAGTATTTTTAAATTTTAATTAACATTTGGATATTAATAAATCTATGTGGATGTCTAGAGAGTGACTCCCACAAGGAAATAAACTGAAATATTTAAGCTTGACAATAAATTTTATTTTGAGATTACATGAAGGTAAGGCATAACATTTGAAAAGTTAAAGCGAGATGGATGGAATACTCAGGATGCATCAGAATTTTGATTATTGTTCTTTTTCTTCTCTCTGTATCTGTGTGCGCATGCGTGTGGTATGTTTATGACATGGTATATATGTGGAAGTTAGAGGACAACTTGTAGGAATCAGTTCTCTTCATCTATCACATAGGTCCTGGAGAATCAAATCAAGTCATCAGACTTGATGGCAACTAACTGCCTTTACCTGATGAACCATTTTATAGACCTTTGGTTATTTCTAAAGCTATATAATGGAAATTGTGGATTATAAATTATAGTGCTTGACACCTTCATTTAGAAGGTACCAGACATATCCAACACTGTGTCTCCAAGAAATGCCTTATAGTCTACCAGGTTGCAACATCAAAGCTGACATTTTAGAGGATGGTTACTCTACACAGCCAGTTGAATAAGTAAAATCCTGAAATGATTGTTATTTTCTTATACTATTATTCCAATCTGTTAGCAAATTAAAATGATTTAAAACTATTCTAAATAAGATTGTACTTATAATACCAAATCTGTTCTCTTTCCTCCTTTGCTATCATTGTTCTGGCCCAACTCACTTTCATTTCTTCTTAGGATTGCTGCAATAGCCTCTAACTAGCCTTTATGTTTCTACCCTTATACATCTAAAATTTATTCCCACGTCATCAAACAGACTGAGACTTTAATTTGTAAGTTGGCTAATTTCATTCTTATATTTAGTACCAATTAATGAATATTTCCAATTAAGAAGTAAAATTCTTGAGTGCCGAGGAGATCAGTGCACTCCGTGTAAGCATAAGGAACTGAGTTTGATTTCCGGAACTCATGCAAAAAAGCCAGGCACGGAGACAGAGACACTTGTAATCCTGGAGAAGTAGAGAGGTGGTCACTGGGTGTCCCAAGAGTCAGTGAATGCCCATCACAGAGACATAGGTCAGTGAAAGACCAGTCTCAACAAACTAAACAACCAACAAACCAACAACCAACAAATACTGGGTGCATGGCACCAGAGGAATGGTACCTAAGGAAAGATATCTCTGGTTGCCCTCTGGCCTCCACACGCATAGGCATACAAATGCATGCATACTTGCACCCTCCCCCCATTCACTCAGATAAACATGCATATGCACACACAATTAAGAAAAAAGAACAAAATTCTTGGTAATGTTTGGCAACAAAGGGATATAGGCTCAAACAAAAGCCAGATTAGTATTCAAATGAGGACAAGCAAACAATGCTTCAGGTACTTTATTACTCATAGATATTTGGTGAATTAATAACTCCCATATGCATTCTATCTAGCTATATTTTAAAAAGTAAAGATGCCTACACTGGAGACAAATACAAGGGTCAAGGCAATTTAGTTTATAGTTTATAAATGTAAGGAGCTGAGCTTCTTGTAACTAAAATCTGTCACTATAGGTGGAAACAACATTTCTAGATAATTTCAAAATAGAAGTATGTGGTGGTGTGAATAAGAATGACACCCATGGGCTCATATATTTGAATGCTTAGTCATCAGGGAGTAGAGTTGATTGAGAAGGGTGAGGAGTTATGAAGTATGTTACTGGGGATTGGCAGCACTGAGGTTTCAAAAGCCCATGCCAGGCACAGTCTTTCTCTCTCTCTCTCTCTCTCTCTCTCTCTCTCTCTCTCTCTCTCTCTCTCTCTCTCTCTCTCTTCTACATATCAGGATGTAAAGTTCTCAGCTCTGGTGCCATGCCTGTCTGTCTCCTGCCATGATGATTATGGGGTAACCTTTTAAAATTGTAAGTAAGGCCCCAGTTAAATGCTTCCTTTTATAATTGTCTCATCATGGTGTTTCATTACAATAACAGAACAACAACTAAGACAGAAGTTGATATTAGGCACTGGGGTATTGCTGTGACAGGTTTCATAATTCTATTTGTGGGAGGAACATGGAAGACTTTGGGACTTTGGACTAGGAAAGAAATTGAACACTTTCAGTGAGACTGAATGGGCCATCCTAGTAGGAGCAAGGAAATCAGTTTTACTGAGGCTGCTGTGGACTGGGGGGTCCAGCTCAAGAGGTCTCAGAGGGAAGAATATTACTGGCTGACCTAGAGACAGTCTTATGATATTTTGTCAAAGTTGTGTGGCTGCTTTTTGTCCTTGTCCTAAAAATCTGCCTGAAGCTAAACTGAAGGGTTTTAGACTAATATTGTTGACAAAGGAGATTTCAAGACAGCTTAGTATTGATTGTGTCATGTGGTTATTAGTGATCACTCATATGCAGATCTAAAATGAAAAGGAGCAAGTAGGGTAAAGAGAAATTAAAAATGTTCAGTTTGAGGAGAAAAAGAGCACCAATAAATGTACTACTGGAGTCAAGTTTTGTGTTCAAAGAGATAAACCATTTAAAGAAAAGCCTTATGCTAAATGGAATAAAGAGAGTGGTAACCTCAGGGTGAGATCCCACCTAGCTAATCCTGAAACCTGTGAAAGGAAAAGGTCTGAGTGATTTCCTAAGCCTAAACAACAGAAATTTGCTGTAATGTAATCCAAGGAGGGGGCCAAGGTCTAGCCCTAGCAAGCAGAAGAATTTAGCAGCTTTGGCCACATGGTTCTGGAATTAGAGTCAAGAAGGATAAAGAAAAGGAGTTGTGGAATCTTCTATCATGGCTAAGGGGTGTTCCTGTCTGGAGGCTCAGAAAGCCATTGTGTGGAGCTGTGAAGCTGAAGCCTGTATTGTCTTAGAGTCCTGAAGATGTTGGAGATGCCAGAGTCATGGGATACCTGACAAGGAGAGCTGCTAACAGGGAATGGAAATATATTTGAATTTTTAGTGGAACTGTTTGAGAAGGATTAGGAGGTATGGACTTGTTGGAGGATATATGCTCTCAGAGTTATACTGGAGGGAATGCTCTCAGAGTTACAGTGGAGGGAATGCTCTCAGAGTTACAGTGGAGGGAATGCTCTCAGAGTTACAGTGGAGGGAATGCTCTCAGAGTTACACTGGAGGGAATGCTCTCAGAGTTACACTGGAGGGAATGCTCTCAGAGTTACAGTGGAGGGAATGCTCTCAGAGTTACAGTGGAGGGAATGCTCTCAGAATTACACTGGAGGGAATGCTCTCAGAGGTACAGTGGAGGGAATGCTCTCAGAGTTACACTGGAAGGAATGCTCTCAGAGTTACACTGGAGGGAATGCTCTCAGAGTTACACTGGAGGGAATGCTCTCAGAGTTACAGTGGAGGGAATGCTCTCAGAGTTACAGTGGAGGGAATGCTCTCAGAGTTACAGTGGAGGGAATGCTCTCAGAGTTTCAGTGGAGGGAATGCTCTCAGAGTTACAGTGGAGATCTAGCAAGCAACCGATGCCAGGAAAGAAAGAAAGAAGATGCAAAATAAATTTGGGCAATGAAAAACAAAGAAAAATACAGATTAACAGTTCAAGTACACCTATTAAACACCTAAATTAAATAATCCTTTAAACTTAAAATCAGTGTGTTTATGGCAGTCTGCTTCCCGAGTTGTTCCTCAATTCCATTTCCATGATTATACAGACAGTAAGCACTGAGTGCTCCTTAAACAGTGTTGACATAACAAGATGCCCTTGCTATGAGTGAGAAGAGAGAGCCAAGTTCTACAGGAACAAACAAATGAAAAGCTGGCCAAAACAAACAAGCAAACAAATAAGCAAAAAAAAAGTACCAAGAATTACAAAGAACCAGGGACTCTTAGATCTCCATTTGCTGGCAACTTGCCTGCTTATTTTGCTAGTTCTTCAGCTGCCCTACCCTTGAATCTTTTCAAGACCCATTAGAGTTAAGAAAAATCAAACTTTTGTAGTTACTACTTTAATGTCTTAGAGTCAGTGTTGCTACAGTTGAAACTAATAAAAAACACTTTAATAACATCTCCATTAGATTTCATGAGGGCAAGAGTTAAGCTCTCTCGTGATGGTATAGTGTTAATACCTAGCACAGTGCATAGTACACAGTACATATTATTTTAAGCAGCCAAATTGAACCATAGCACTAAATAAATGCTTTCATTGAGTTGAACCACAGGACCAGAATAAGGAACCAAAACCTGAGAGGCTAACTCTGCCACTGTATAATTAATGAAATTATCTAAGTCACCTGAATCCAACGTTAGAGTGAAGAGCAATATTCCAATATTCACAATGCAGACGTTGAATATTCATTGGATTATGAAAAACCAGAAGTAAAGAGTTGTCCTGTGTGTGGTAATAAGAGTCAACACATCGATATTGCTGATGGGCTTCCTGAAGAACCTGAAAATGATGGTTTTATTCAGTTGCTTTATCCCAGGAGAAGAGTCTTTTGCTATAGCAACATGTATGCCCCCCCCATCATTTCTACATCAATGGCCAACTTTAAGTTTTCAGTGGATTCTTTCCTAATGACTAGAAAATACGATCATAAAATATAGTGCATTTTTTGAGCCTTTCAATAACTCTTATAGAAAAACAAACAGTAGGTTCCAAGGGTGGAGATACGTGTTAAGTGTTAGTAGATGGTAATCAGTCAGCCTCACCCCACCTCTTTTTGTTTTTTGTTTTTGTTTTTTGAGACAGGGTTTCTCTGCATAGCACTGACTGTCCTGGATCTCACTCTGTGGACAGAGCTAGGCTTAAACTCAGAGATCCATCTGCCCTCTGCCTTCTGAGTGCTGGGACTGAAGGCATGTTATCACCACCATCACCCTGCTAATCAGTCAGTTCTTTAATAGTTTTCTGTACCTCCATACAGATCAATTCATTTTTTTTAGCATCGTTAAATAATGCAGATAGAGTGGGCATCATACACTAGGCTGTTCCTGACCTGCTCCAAGTCTACAACCAACACTCCAGCCCCAGTGTGATATTTGGAGGTCTTTGGGAATGTTAAGAGGGTGGGGTTCCCATGATAGGATTTGTGTCCTTATCATCTGGGACACTGGAGCTTGCTTCTTCTCCCCTCTCTCTCTGCCATGGATAACTCAGCAGGACAGAATCACGTGCAAGCCAGGAAGCAAGCCCTCATCAGGAGCTAACCACACTAGCACTTGGAATTTGTTCTCCTATTTCTTAAGTTCCGAGTTGATACACGTGTATTATTGAAGCTACCTAGCCTGAATTGTTTTGGTAAGGCAGCCTGAGACTAAGATAATAGCTAACATTTTTTCTTCCTGTTTCTAAATATCAGGTCTCATTTGCCAGAACAATAAGTGGCTTGCCAAGAACAGGGTCTGTAGGTTCTGGTGCCAGAGTTCAAGCCAACTGTCTTCCAGCTCTGATTTCTCTCTTCCTCACAGCGGCATCACTGTTTGCTATCTACCTCTGCCTTGTTTTAAACACCCTCAGCCTGCACTTCAAGGGCAGCCACCAGCAGAGGGCACCAAGGTATAGCTGCTTTGTCCTGTTTTTTTTTTTTTTTTTTTTTTTCTCAATGTCAGTCAACCATAGAAAACTGCCCACAGGAAAAGGAAGGAGACAATAGCAGACTTTTGTTTGTGTTCTCAATTCCAATCGACTGTAGGCAGCTTTGTGTGCTCTGCCATCAGGATAATCTCAAGGAACTGCTAGAATGCAAGGAAAGGGGTGTCTCAGTTTTGCTTTCATTTCTATACTTGTAATAGACTCGGAATAATACATTTATCCACCCCCACCCCCCACCCCCGTCTAGTCACCCGTAAGAGTGCCTTGATGGAGTGCCATGTAGATGTTTACTTCTGCTTTCTGAGGCACAACCACTGTTCTTGAAAGGCAAATTCCTCTGAGATGATAAACCCAAGAAATAAATGTTTGCTTATAGTGAACACACATCCATCCTTGCTGTGACTTCTGGGCAAGATTATCAGAGCTGTGACTGACTCTGAACATTTGAAAAGTGTTCACATTACCTTCCTTTTATGGATTGGTGTTTGCCTTTAACAGATTATTATTATTATTATTATTGTTGGTTTCATGTTAGTTCATGAAGAGTAAATATCAGGACAGAGAGAGAGAGAGAGAGAGAGAGAGAGAGAGAGAGAGAGAGAGAGAGAGAGAGAGAGAGAGAGAGAGAGAGAGAGAGAGAAAATGAGTCCCAGGCACTGTTTCATGAACATACAAATGAACTCCATGGACAAAACTTTCATCTGCAATTGGATTAAGATCACTCTGAGTTATAATCAAATGGATGAAATATTTGAATTGCAGGGAATGGACCAGAGTGAGAATCAAAACCATCTGATGCTTAGAAGGATGTTTCAATAGAAGGTGAGGATGGTGGTGAATTAAAACTGACATAGTTAGTCCTTACAGGCACCCTTGTACCTTGTAGAATCTACCAGGCTACTGTCCGTCCTCTACTGCAGCAGAGCAGAGGGTGGCAGGCCCTAGAAGGTGAGCCAAGACATTCAACAACAGAGGACCTTAGCCCCTAGAAGGTGAGCCAAGACATTCAACAACAGAGGACCTTAGCCCCTAGCAAGGGAGAAGCACATTCAAGAGAAAACAAAAATAAGGCAAATGTTTAAATCACAAATGCGGGTCACATATGTAATTCTAAATTTTATAGTTGCTACATTCTAAAAGCCGAGGCAGGTAAAGTCAATGGAAACGGTATATTTTGTTTCACTCGATATATGAAAATGTTATCATTTCAACATGTAGTAGATATAAAAATTATGAATGATATATATCATTTCATGCCAAGTCTTTGAACCCTGGTGTGTTTGGCCCCATATAGCTAAATGCAGAGTGCCATGTGACTGTCCTCGTTCCTGTTGAATTACTTTCTTTTTGGTGGAGGACCATTTTTCTTTACCATTGATGCGGTTGGGAAATTACTATTCTTTTCATAACAAGGCTCTGTAGATTCTCCTGGCTTTAAAGATATGTGGGATATAAATCTAGTCAAAATGCGAGCCAAATTAGAAAGACAAGTCATACAGAGTACAAGTTTTATAAAATCTGAAGCCAGCTTGTGTTCATTTCTGGACGTCTTACTATTTTTTTTTTCTTATAGCAGATAAAAGCATGTTTTGGGATGGGGGAGCAAATTTTCTTTCTTGGTTGTTTTGTTCATGTTTCTCAATTAGCAACAGACGTGTGGTCAAGGTGCTTCAGTTTCTACGACTGAACAGTTTCTATGTCATAGCTTAAGCTGAGGAATACACTTGTACACAACAGCTGTGGCCTCACACACAGCACTCAGCACAGTAACTGTAGCCATCAAGGCTACCATCCTTGACCTGCTCATCCAAACAGAAAACTCCAGGAAACATAATGAAGTTTAAAAAGAATGGAAAGACACCAGAGGGGGAAAATGGTGTTGCTTCCTGGTGCAGCCCAGTTTTTCTCTAGAAAACACTCAGAGCAGTTATGGAAACCGTCCCTTTGAAATTATCCTTTCAACCGTTCGGGGGGTTTCCTGTGAGTGCATGGCTTAGTGTGGGAACAAACTCATTTTATAGCCCAAGTCAATGGGAATACTGAGTTGAGCTCGAGCTGAGAGAGTGACCCAGAAGTGAACTGTTCACAGTTACAGCCCGGCTCTCCAGACCTATCCACGCGCGTCTCCTGGAGAATCACAGCCCATAAATACCTGAAGCAGGACTTTCGGCTGAAAATGTTCAGTAAAGCTCCAGTCCGTTAAACTTCGCTGCTGAGTTTTCTTTATGTCCTCGAGATTAGCTTCCACCACCATCTTCTTGGGTTTCTTAAAAAGGAAAAAAAATCCACTGGATCACAATTTCAGCTCTAATTTGTGCGCGTCCAAATGGAGCCCTATTAGACTCTGTGGACTCACCCCCATGCGCCCCATTTAATTGTGGGAATCTGCATATGTATAGATCCATATGTATAGATCCATATGGCAACATTTTAGGAGGGCCGCTGCCAGAAAGAAGTACGCCTTTGACTCTCTCTTTTTTTCCAAATGTGCAACATAACCTAAATATTTTTATTGTTAGGTTATACTCTTCGGAGTCCTGTTAGCAATTATAGGCAGGTTTTCTGAGCTCACTTCAAGACGGCGTTTAGTTCTACATGGGCTGTATGGTCAGCAGGTGTTTGTGAGGTTGCCAAGCCACACTGTCTAGAGAGGGGCAGGGAGCGGGAAGTTCTACTTAAGTTAGTGAGGCCAGTAAAATTAACCCCCTTCACTCCAGTTGGAGGGAGTATGGATGTCCAAACAACTCCTTTGGCCCTGGTATCAGCAGCATTTTCCTTTTAAGCCTCCCCCCCTTCTCTCTCTACCCTCCCCCTCTCTCTCTCTCCCTCCCTCCCTCCCTCCCTCCTTCCCTCCTTCTCTCTCTCTCCCTCTTCTCAGTTTGGTCAGGGGTTTTCAGATCATCTTACTTGTCATCTACACATTTAGGAAAATAATTCCGTACCTTTTCAAGAGAACCATCCTTTGTGGCTGCTTCATCTTTGATCTCATTGTCCGTGGTCTGCTCTGTAAATCAAAGACACCAACATCCAGTTGTGTTTGGGATTTGTTCTGGCGTTTGGTCAGTGCTGGATCTTTTTGTTGCCCGTATGATCTATGTCTCTGTGCTGAAAAGGTAATTCCTGAGAGGCATGTTTCGTGCCTCCAAAGAGGTGTTTGTGTCAATAATTCTAAGTCAGTGCCTACCTAGAATTTATCCTACAGTCTGTGAAAAGAATCCGGCTTCTTATCTGATGCCCACTAAATCATAGCAGCTATTCTTTCAGGCTGCATAACGTTCACTTCTTTGGTGAACCTTTGCCTCCACAAATTTTAAGTATTCACTGGCTAAACTAAATCATTGGCTCACTGCTTTCATTTTTCCTTACTCTGGTGATCATCACAAAGCCTTGCAAATTTTTCTGAGCCTTGCCTGGTAGGTGACAGACTGGGACAAGGGCAGGGGTGCGTGGACCGGAGAACAAGCAATGAATTCACCTATTAGAGAGTGAAAGCATCCTACCATTCTGTTGAGATCTTCCGTCCACCCATCATTAACTTAATTATTTAATGAGCATGTGCACACTGACAGGTGGAGTTTAACACACAAGTGTAAACTTATGTGATGATAAGGGCTGTGATATCATTGTTGGCTAGGAAGCAGTGGCCATCTGAATGGATGAGAAAGGGACAGATCTGTGCTAGTGATTTTCACATCATGAAGTACATCAGGATAAACGAGACATAACAGAGAATGCTGATGAAGTCCCTACTGTAATTTTTCCCACATTTGATGAAACAAATGGAGTAAGCTTGAGAAGGCTAAGTGTTGCAGGATATACTTTCGTGCTGCTGAACGGCTGAGCCAAGTTGACTTCTTACCGCATTGAGAATAATTGCAAATCCCAAGCCACAAAGCTGTGTACAAATTGCTGCAGCCTCACTCTCCCAACACATGTGCCCTAGTCCCTCCTTGTCCTTCCCACTTCAGACGGACTGGCCAGCTCACTGTTTGTGTGGGCAGCCTTACACTCCCCCGTTCCCACCGCCATTCTTTAAGCTATTCGCCTGTTTTTAAGTCAGAGCATTGAGTGGGGAAGGGTCCTGTTTGTTCATGGTCTGCTCCTCTGCTTCCTTCAGCTCTCAGTTGCTGAAGTACAAGAACGTGCTCTCTTCGTATCTTGAGCATCCGGCACCTGGTGCGGATTCAGCGATGGGTTTTTCTTTTGATTGAATGGGGTGAATCTATAGCACATTTTGAACTATATTGAAATGATGGCAGAGTAAAAAAAGAAAGCAGAAATGTACAAGGAAATCTGTAAGAAAGGCTGACTCGACTGTGAATATAAGATTTGTCTTTTCATTCTGCTGCAAAGAGATCCATACACAGGATTCTGGGGGTGGGGGTGGGGTGGGCAGTGATATCTACCAAGGACAGGCTAATGCTCTTCTCTCTCAAAAGCACAGTTACTTATATCTTTGGCCCTAGTTCCCTCTTGTCCCAGGTTGCTGCAGGTGACAGAATGAATGTTCCATTTTGATTTCGAGGGAGATGTGAAAGGCAATTCAGTTCAGCATTTGTACAAACATATCCATTGAAGACAAAACTCAGGCCAACTGTAATTCTAAATAGACCGTGATATCCCCTTTGTCTTTGAAGCAATTGATATGAAATCTGTAGAATAAAAGTCCTTCTATCCTGTGACCTGCCAGTTTCCAGAAGATTTGATATTCCCTCCTGTGTCTAAAGATCAGGGAATAAAACCAACTCTTTAGAAAGTATGTTCAAAACTGGTGCACCAACAACTTTGCCAAAGGACAGAGCAGTCTAATATGAAGATGAACTCTATTTAACAGTAGAATAAAAGTCATTTTTTCTCTCTGTCTGATTCTTGATTTCAGCCACATAATCCTTTGACAGTGTGATTCAGTAGTTTTTGACACATCTGGAAATGGACGCTTTCCCTTCCCTTTGAAAAACAGCTCTCCTAATCTGTTTTACTTTAGAGATAACAAGATCCCTCTGCAAAGCAGTTGCTTTATTAAAAAAACACCCAACAAGCATAAAGGGCACATCTAAACCTACAGCCTCGCGGTTATCAACTCTCAGGTTTTTTCATAAATATCCAATGTGCCCTGTCAAGTTCAAAACAGTCTCAGATGGAAACCCAGAGTTTTGTTAGGGAAAGCACCACTGTCCAGCCCTTCATGTCCAGAAACAGGCATATCAATGCGTGTGATGCCAAAACGGTTTTGTGGGGAAACACAAAGATGATTTCTGCTTTGTGTAAATGGAGTTAGAGCGGCTGCTTTTGAAGAATGAAGCAGCGTTAGGGAGGAAGATGGAAGCTCAGACAACAGCTTCCTCTTATAAAACAGCCACAGAGGTACAAGGACAGCTGTCTCCTCTGCTCAGACCCAGTGGCTCTGCATTCACCGAGGAGGAGCCCTTAGGGCTGGGGGCCCGCCCTCAAAATTGCTGGGGCCCCAGAACATGCTATCTAGATGATAGCATTTCATCCTGAATCTTGGGAGCCTGAGAGTCACCCTCTCTCCACCAGGCTCTATAGCAGCATATGAGTGGTTTGACCACCAGGTGGCAGAAGTTGCCCGAGGAAAGGAAACTGTACACAGCCTGCCTTCAGAAAAACAAAACAGAGCGAAACAAACACCCCATCTTCCATCTTTCCAAGCTGATTCTGGTTCGATGTTAACACAAGGTGACTTCTATCGTATATGTGCATTCAGGTGTATGATGTCCTAACAACCAGGGCTAACTTATTCTTGTCCCCCACACCTCTGTGTGCTCCCCTCCCTGTGTTGTGAGCTAGACTACTAGGTAGACATAGGAGATAGAGGAAATCTACTGTTGGGAAGGAAGAAACACAAGGCAACAAAACCAGGGTAAGGGATAAGAACCTCATGACAAAGACATTCTGAATATGGCCAAACTATTAGGTAGCATCATGAGGAATTTCTAGGGCCTAGGAAGCCTTATTCTAAGGTGAGGCAGAGGGCACTGCTGTCCTGTTCCTATATCTACATGGTTGAACAAGCTATTTAGACCTCTCTGTTCAGGTTTCTATAAAGCAGTAATATACAGAAGATCCATGCCGTGGCACTATGCTTGGGATACAGCAGAGCCATCCTCAGTCTCACAGGGTATCTGTCTTCTCCTGCTCACATACCTACCTTACTGACAGCTAGTAGGTGGCCTTGCAAAATTCTACTTCTAACCTTTCCTTCTCCCCTCATACAGATAAGGAAGATGTCAAGATGACCATAGTCAACACCAATTTAACTCTTGTGGTTTGCAGGGGAGCTTACACTTACCTTCAACACACCTTTTACTATTAGGAACTGCCACACACTCAGCAAAGAGCCCACAGCATGACTGCTTCCTAAACACACAATTGTAAAGAAAAGTCCCAGGGCTCCTTTCTTGGATACATCTTTAACAACCACAGCCTCCTTTGGTAAACTCTCCGATTCCACTTTGTGTGAGTCTGGGCATTGTTTGGGTTTCTACACATAGTTACAAATAGTGATACATTGTTTTTATTTTTGTTTTTTCTTTTCAAGCCGTTTTTTAATCTTTCTTGCTTCTCTAGATGAGTTTGTTAGGACAAAAAACAGGGCTCCTGATACACAACTTTCTAATCTTGGAGAAGACGGCTCTCAGATTTTCATTGTAGTATATAATGTTATTGTCTTAAAAACAACTTTTATAAAGTTGAGGAATTGTCCTACTGTTGCCATTTTGTTAAGAATTTTTCATTGGTTACCAGGGAAGTTTAAATGCCTTTTATACTTCTATAAATGGATCTGTTTTCTTTTCACTAATGCTAATCAATAAATCATATTTTTATAGTTATAGATTTTCCTTCTGATTCTCTTACAATGTAATTTTGTTGGGAGATGCTATTATTGTTTGGTGTCTGCTCAGTAGACAGTATTTGCCCATTTCATTCTCAAATTTTGTAGAATAAGATTGTTTATCTCCTCTTTCTGGTTTTGTGGTGGTGGGGATTGACACTGAGGTCTTCTACAACTGGCTTTATCCCCTGGACTTTTCATCGTTAATGTTGGGACAGGGTCTCCCGAGGAACTTACAGAGTTACATCAGTCTGTAACCCAGTTGATCCTTGGCTCTGTGATCTTCCTACCAGTAGCTCTAGTAGCTGTGGTCCCAGGTTGTTTGTCCAGGCTCAGCTCTCCGTAGCTGTGGTTCCAGGCTGCTCCTCCCGGCTCAGCTCTCCGTAGCTGTGGTTCCAGGCTGTTCCTCCAGGTTGCTACTGCAGGCTCTCCTCTCTGTATCTTTTTAATCTCTATAGGATCTGAGTGAAGTCTGTTTCTTCATCCCTAATAGGATATTTATTTCTGAGAAGATATTGCTCTTGATATGGTTAATTGTGCCTTGACTAGTCTCAAAGAACATTTGGTAATTTAACTTGCATTTTTTAATAGCCAAGCTTTTGTCGTTTTGTTCTTCCATTTTTTAATGTTTTTCTGTTCCACTGATTTACTTCAGTGCTATCGTCTTCCTCTGCTACTTCATTTGGACCCTTTTGTTCATCAGGAAGTACATGTATCCAGGAACGAGCTCAACCTGGACTGTAGAAGGATTTCTGGTGGTTTGGCAAAAGCCAGCACTCCTTAGGAACTCAGGAAGCAGGCGTCAGTCTGTGTGCCAACGGAGTCATTTCCCTGACCTCTTGCAGAAGGAACATATGGCTGTCCATTGGCATGTGTCTGAAGTTCATATCAAAGCCCATGCTGGCCTCCAGGCTACTTCAGTGGGTAGTCACAAAAACCAGTCACATATCTCAAAGTCCCCACACCTACCTCCTTCCTCCTCTACTCCCCTGGCCATCTTGAGCTCAGGGCTTCCTCCTTCATCATCTTTATAGCCTGTATGATTTCCCATGCTCTGCTTCCCTAATCCAGGCCATGTCTAGTCTGCTTCTTTTTCTCTTTGCTCTGGATTTTCTAGATGCCTCTGGATGTTCTCCCCGTCACCCTATTTGTCTTTTTTTCTTCACTTCCCTCCCTCCCTCCCTCTGTCCATCTGTCTGTATCTTACTCATAATAAGTAAGCCCTCTCCCCAATAATAAGTAAGAAACCTCTCCTTTGGTGGTTTCTTAATGGTGTGGCTCACATATAGCTAAATAACTTGGGATTGAAGTTTAATTAGTTAATGTTCAGGATCTTTCTGGAATGTGCTAATTCAAAGCTGTCAGTATAGCAGCAGCATCTTCTTCAGCTGCGTTATATACATTTTTATGCTCAATGTTTTATTATTATTTAGTTTGAATAATAATTCCTACTGTAACCTTTTCTTTCACCTAGATGTGATATGTGAGTATATTTCTTAGTTTTCAGTCATGTGGTACCTCATTTTTAAAATTAATGCACTATGTCACTGCATTATGAGAATATGTTCTGTGTAACTTTAGTCCTATGAAAATTTGCTGCAATTGGTTGCACAGCCCAGGATAAAGTTAATATTTCATAAACAAACATAGATACTACTCCCAAGAGGCTATGGTGTTGTGGAGGCCTCACTTTTCATATGAATGATTACAGAAAGTAGAAAGACATAATAGCAAGGCATAAAGCAAGTGTGGCTCAGTTATGACATCTTTTGGTGACAGTATATAACATAGGGCAAAGGACAAAGTGCAAAGAGACTTTTAGGATCAGGAGTGGGGTGCTAGGAGCGTGTGAAGCAGATCACACTCCATTCGGCAGAGTTGGGAACTGCTGAGAATAATATGCAGGGAGCTTTGTTTCAGGTAGGCACTTGATGGGACAGCTGTGTGTAAGGCACATGTAAATCCAGTCCAGTGTACTCTGCACTCCTAATGCCACCATGTACAGGGCTGTACCTGAGGATAATGTCCTGAGCTCAAATAGGAGCAAAACAGAGGGTACATTCACTGAACACTGGTTTCATGCCAAGCTCTCTCTATATATACTTGGCATTTTGTTAAGTCACTACAAGTAATTTTACCATGCAGTCATGAAGTACTAATATTGAAATTTTAATTATGCTCACTGTACTGAGTTTTCTATCAGAAAAAAAGAACTGAGAGGATGCCTTGAAAAAACAGAGTTGGAGAGATAGGAACTGATTAACCACACCCAGAACATTTACTTACCCAATTAACTTAGACATTGACTCACTTTTCTTCAGATGAAGAAGCATTTACCTTGAAATGATGCCTTTTGAACTTCTCTCTCTTTTTGTGTCTAAGTATAGCCCTATAATTCTTTCACTTACCCGAGGACTCTGGCTGAGGCCACATGGACCCACTGATCTCCTTCTCTGACAGTTGTCTGTTGCCAGCATCCGAGGGGCTCCCGATGTCAGAAGTAGAAGCCCTAACACCATCAGCAGCAGGCTGATTGGAATCTGGGGAATTTCTGTATCTCTCAGCCTCTGGCTCAGCCTTTGACAAATTTTGGTCCACAAATAGTATTCTGTCTTTGTTTCCAATATCTAGCAAGGGTGGAGAGCATCTGTTAGATACAGTATCAGGATGGCTCCCCCGCCCCCTGTTCAACATACCTGCCACTGGGTTGGCTTTCTGGGTGTTTGCCCTGTGGATGCATCGCTGCCGTATATACTTAGCGAACCTGGCGGGGTTGTCCCACGGAATGTTGAAATTCTCGGCATCTGCCTGACTGACCACCTCGGCCGGCTTGAGCTTTCCTGCCTCATCCACCTCGGAGAGCTTCAAGCTCTCGAAAGTAAACACCTTGAAGGCTCGTTCTACTTCATTCCAGCTCAGCACTTCTGTAAGAGAGCAGGCCCACTGCCTTGAGGAAGGCTCTTATTAGTACATGATACAGGGCTGGCACTGTGGGAGCTGAGAGGCACCGATGGTTCATGCCGCAAATGGGTGCTGACCTGACTTAAAATACTAAGAAAATAATAGTTAAGATGTCACAGATCCGTGAGATATTCCTAACAACTTCACTGTTTGGTACCCATATTCACTAGCCTGAACTTTCCATAGTCCTGTATTGGTTTAAATATCATATATTTAAGATTTTTTGTTGACACAAATGGCTTTTGAAATTTGTTATTTGTGTCTATGACAGTTAGAAGGTTTTCCTGTTCATTCAGGCCCAGAAAAAGCCACCTGCAAGAGCTGCTACTTTGCGTATTGGCACTTCAAAGTTTGTCAGAGCTGTTGTCCCTGTTCAGCTGCGTCCATCATATAGTCACTAAGCTGTCAGTGACATTTCAGCTCTGCCACAGGTGCCTAGGAGTCAAGGAAGAACATGACGTGGTTCTTCAACTTTCAAAGTTCAAGATGGAGGTTTGAGAGGTAGAGACAAACAGAATTCAATGAGATTGCAACAGAACAACAATCAGATAGATTGTTCCAGATTAGTGACTGATAGATCACCTTCACCCCCCCCAACAGAGAGAGTAGAACAGCCTTGGAAAACAACACAGGGATCCAGAAGAGAACCAAGAAAGGGGCAAAAGAGTTGCTGAAGAACACTTTTTGATCTGGGCTTGGTAGTGCGCACATATAATCCCAGCATTTAGGAGGCCGAGACGGGGGGATTATCATACATTCTAGGCCAACCTGGAATTTATCTCAGAAACCAAAACCAGAGACATGACACCCATTAGGTGTTATAAGGGCAGTGAAAGTTGGCGAGTAAAGCAATGGGCTCATAGCTGTCATAGAATACCGTTGGAGTAGGCGAAAACAGACACAAGTATGTGACAACAGGGACAATAAAGCAAACATTAGGACACCAGAAGTGAAAGTGGAAAGGCTGTGCTCTTGCTGTATACAGGAAACTGAGAAAAACTTCGTTTAGATAATAGAGCTAAAATGAGAAAGGAGTGAGGGGACATCTGACAAGAGGCTTATGTGTTGACAAGCACCAAGTTCCAGAGGCCTCTGTGTGTGTGTGTGTGTGTGTGTGTGTGTGTGTGTGTGTGTGTGACTGATGCCTCAAGGAAGCGCTGGGAGGCCCCTGTAGATACAATGGAGTAGGCTAATGGAAACCTAGCAGGGGAGGGGCCTCACAAGTGCGTGGTAGATAGGTTTGGTTTCACTCTAGGTGAACATAGGAGCTTTTGAGTGAAGAAGGCAAATGATCTGATGGACAGCCTCAAAAAGGTGTCCTGGTTGTCGCATGGATAAGACTCATAGTGGAAAGGTGAAAGCACGTAAGGTGGTTGGAATGTTATTGAAACAGCCAGGGAGATGTGGTGGACCAGCCTGGGATGGTACTGGGCTGAGGTGGACATGGGATATAAGTAAAAATGAAGGAGGATTGACTGCAGGGTTCAGTCTGCATCAGAGTCCCAAGAGTAGTCTAAGATGAGATGGGATTCTAGGTGTGTGTGTGTGTGTGTGTGTGTGTGTGTGTGTGTGATGTGTTGTTGAATTTAGTATTTATATTCATTAGAAATATTGATTTATAACTTCCTTTTCTTTAGAAAATCTTTGAGAATTTCATACATGCAGGCATTATTTCTTTATCATGTTCATTCCACTCCTCTCTTCAACTTCTCCCCTCATCGCCCAGCATCCTCCTCCCTCGGGTAATGGCCCTTTCCTCCTACTCGCTTTTCTCTCATGAGAAGAGGTTAGTTCGGACCTACTCACTCTTCAGGGGCATGCTGTTGAGGGGCTTTCTCTTCATGCCTCTCCTCCCAGGACTAGGGTAGGTAACGGCTCAGAGGAGGCACATGAACTGCACATAACATTTGCCCTCCCTTCAGCTTAGTTACCAAAGGGTGCTAGTGAGAGCACCTGGGGGCCAGAATTTCAATCATAGATCTGCACTATTATTGCAACCCTAGAATAACTAGTTTAGCTTGCCTGGACTTCAGATATCTTTTCTGGAAATGCATTTGGACTAGATGAATTCTGAAGTTCACTTCAGTTAGGAGATTTTTTTGGTTCTACAATATATCTTTCTTCATATTTCAGTTTCTGTAGCTGGCAGTGTATCTCAGTGGTAGGGAAACTGCCTGGCCTGTACTAAGTCCTAGATTCAGTCATCAGTACTGAAAAATTTAAAAAAAAAGAAAGAAATTCAATTTCTGGATATAAACACTGCTTTCAGAATTCCATCTCAGGATGACATTGGACAGTGATTTTTAATTGTTCATAACATCATTTCTTCTTTCCTTTCCACCCTCCTGTGCAGAGGTGATTCAACAAAGTGCTCACATTTCACCAAAAGGATACTCCAGTCAAAGCCAGATGACCCAGACCTTCTGTAACCTGTCTTTGACCCTCAAAGAATTGTGGAGTGACTCGAGGTAAAGAGATAGAAGAAAGCAACCTGCCGCGTGTCAGTCCTCAGTGAAGAATGGGGTTGTGGGTAAGGGGGGTGGTTGTTCTGAAAATAATATTGCTTTGTAAAGAGGTATGAGGAACATTCTTGATCCTCAGGAGAGCTCCTGAAAGGATTTGTGAGGCAAAGACATGCAGAGAGAATTGAACACTGACAAAAGAGGTTTGCATTTAAAATTGCCTCCCATGATCTCTTCTGTTCCTCCTGACCCCAGCTACAATGAGACTAGTGGAAGAGCCCTAGGCTAACCATTGGCTGAATTAACAGATGATGATGGTCCAGAGTTCAGCATCCCATGTCAAATACAGAGTAGAGACACAGTTTCCCACTCAGACAGTGGGGATCCACTAGAGGCAGAGTTCTTCCTCTGTGTTTCTCATGCATTATATTCCAATATTTTGTAAAAGAATATAATGCGTTTTTGCTATTAGTGCAGATAGACTGATTGACAAGTACACATGTGTTCAGTCTGGTTCAGGGTGGATAGAAGGATATTTTCTGGTGGTGGTAGCACATGGCTGCAGAGGCAGGATCTCTGTGAGTTTCAGGCCAGCCTGGTCTACAAAGCAAGTTCCAGGACAGCCAGGGCTACACAAAGAAGCCCTATCTTGAAAAAAAGAAACAAACAAAAGAAGAAAAAGGAGGAGGAGGGAGAGGAGAAGGAGGAGAAAATGATTTCAAGTTTCCATGGAGCACAATTCTAGAATTCAAAATTGACTTGTGTTACTTGAAACTTGATCATGAGACTCCAGACTGACAGTGCTCAGTCAGGGCAAAGTAACTGCTCAGGCCTTCTCTTTCCATTCCTTAGTCATTGTGGTGTATGGTTTGTTGGTTTCCTACGATGATGAAGGGGTTCCATTCCATAGTGAGGCCTTTTCATTTTTTTTCGGGGAAAGGGACTATAATAGCTTGGGATGAGAGACTTTTGTTTATCTTTATATTTTATAGATATATGAACCATCCTCTTATTAAGTAGGATGGATTATATCACCTCTAATGATGTCAGTGAGGGTGCAGGGGCTCGGGGGAAGTGTCGTGGCTAAGGAAATAGATTGGAAAGGAAATCTAGTACATCAAGTTGCAGAATGCTACATATCAGAGCTGCCACATAGTTAGTGACAATATTCAAGGCAAGAAGGTTGTAACTTGTCAAATCTCAGCCTCTGGAAGGCTTTTCAGTGATCAAAATACTTTTTTGGTATAAGGGTATACAGTTTAAAGGGGACATGTGACTATTAATCAAATTGAATATAACATGAAGCAATGTACTCACCATTCGTACAGAAATGCATAAGCTCGTGAATGGTGGCAAGTCTCTTAGTGCTGTTCCATGGAGGGGGCAGAGGGAACTGAAGGAATTCCCACAGTGGCAGCTTGGACTGCATCTCTTGCTCAATTTGAACTGGGTCAAAATTCTTTTGGTCCTTACAAAAAGAGAGAGAGCAACATGACAGAAAACATTAAAGAGAACTGTCAAATGCCTTATGCATATGGAGAAGGCTAAACATGACACCTCCACTCTCATTATCTGGAAACAGGGGAGATCAGAGGTAATTGAAGAAGACAAATGCAGTGTTTGGGATAAGGTTAAAAAAAGCTAGTTCTCACTTTTCCAGAAGTTTCTGGAGCACAGAAACAACTGAGCCTTCATTCCTGGTGACAAGCTGCTGAAGTTTCTCATGGATTTATCTAGGCCATCTGAGGTCCTTTGCTGGCCTCTATTAGTATTTCATAGCAGCAGATATTTAAAGGCAATTCCCATAATATTTTCAAGATTCACTTTTATTTATGTGTATGTATGTATGTATGTATGTTTTTGGATGCCCTTGGAGGCCAGAAGAGACCCCATGGAGCTGGAATTACACACAGTTCTGAGCGACCTGACATGGGTTTTAGGAACTGAACCTGGATCCTCTGGACATCCAGCAAGTACTCTTAATTGCTCAAGCACTTCTTCAGCGCCTGACCTTAAAGTTTTAATGCAGATCTGATAGTGGTGATAATCAAGTCAGTGGTAAACTCAACCTCTGTGATCAGGCAAGGACTCTTTGCTGACATCCTTTTCCTTTAGCAACCCCTGTTTCCTGATTCCCCACGTGTCAGCAGGCATCTACTCTATACCCCATAGTTCATTAGCATTGATTGATAAGGTCATCCAATGAAATCCCCCAACTAATGAATCATAGACACACCTCTTCACTTCAGCCAAGGGAGGGAGGTGTCCTAGTCATTACCTTCAGTGCATACTTCTTGTGGGCATGGGCATCATGGTAGTTCAGTAGGAGAGGGCCTTTGGGCAATGCTTTGGTTTCACTTTCTCCTTCAGATAAGAATATCTTATGGAGATTCTATTTAAATTAAAATAATATCAGTTTAGTGAGATAATGCATGCTGTTTTTCAAAGTGCAAAAACTTCGATTCACTCATGTTCTGACCTTCTTCTCCTTCTCAGATAGGCAGAGTGAAGGCAGGATGGACACAATGTGAGCTGCAATTCTGTAGTCCAACCCATCTGCTCTGTGGGGTGGCTCCACCAAACTCGGGGGAATGAGGTCTTCTTCAGTTGCTACAACCTATTGAGGAAAACGGTTGGGAAGGAGTGGGTTAATAGTTCTTTGCTGATGCATCCCCATTGCTCTTAGGAAGGAGGAGGAAGCAGGTCCATTGAAATACTGGTGGCGACGGCAATGCATCACTGATGACAAAATAAAAGAGAAAACATTTGCAATCCAAGTATTAGGTATAATTTTAATACCTGCATGAATATAGATAATACCAGCTAGAAGCAGAAAGCAATAAACTTTACAATAGTAAAAGTTACAATACTGATTTTTAAAAAGTTTTTACTCTTTCTCATAAGGTCCTGAAAGTAGTACACACAAAACTGGAATCAATATATACTTCAGCAGAGTACTTACTTACTTACCACTTGTCAGGTACTGTGTAGCATCTGCACACATGTTAATTCCCATGAGCCTCACTGCCACTACCTGGCATATATATCACTTTCCATTTGATATAAAATAAAACAAAGTGAGTGTCTTAATTGTTTAATCCAACTCTACTTATTTTAAAGTGAAGAACAGGGAGTTCAGGCCAAATACTTTTGTTGTTCCTGTTTTTCTTTCAAATATAGAAAAATGTATAATAAGATCAATAATAGATAATAGTTACTTAATGTGGGTGAAGCAAAGTTGCTGTGGAATAATCTCTTTGTATCTTGTAAAGATTTGTCACTCAAATTGATTTAATAAAATGCTGATTGGCCAGTAGCTAGGCAGGGAGTATATAGGCAGGGTGATCAAACTAAGGATGATGGGAGGGTAAAGGGCAGCGTGAGGAGTTGCCAGTCATATTCAGAGGGGGCAGGAAATGAATGTGCCATGCTAATAAAGGTATCACCATGTGACAGAGTGTAAATAAGGCTAATTTAAGTGTAAGAGTTAGCTAGTAATAAACCTGAGCTATGGCCAATTATTTATAAGTAATATAAGCTTCTGAGTGATTATTTGAGAGTGGTTGTGGGAAATGAAAACTCTGCTTACACAAGGTCTAGAAGGATTAAAAGTTTTGTTCAATCTTGCTTGAGTAGTAAGTTAAAGAAGTTGAAATATAACCAAACACCAAACATAGACATCTGATAAACAGTCATCCTTTCACCTTTAAGTATTAGAATCATTGTTATAATTTTAAACTCTTCTACAAGTTGCCCACTTTGGCAGTTGTGACATTTTGGAAGATATAAGAGATTTTCTGAGGATCCACTCAGTGAGTTAGCAGCTTAGTGTCTTAGGGTTACTATTTGTGCTATGAAACACCTGGATCATTAACAACTAAGTCAAATTCAGACAATATCTATCCACAAATCCACCCTACAGAAAGTACTAGAAGAAAAACTCCAACCCAAGGAGGGTAAATACACCCATGAAAACATGAACAAAAGATAAACTCATACCAACAAAATCCAAAGAGAGAAACACACACACACGCACATTACTACCACCACCACCAACAAAATAACAGGATTTGACTATCACTGGTCATTAATATCTCTCAATATCAATGAACTCAATTCCCAAATAAAAAGATATGGGCTAATATAATAGATATGAAAAGAGGATTCACCTCTCTGCTGCGTACAAGAAATACACCTCAACATCAGAGATAGACATTACATCAGAGTAAAGGGTTCTAATCCAATGGACCTAAGAAGCAAGCTGGTACAGCTATACTAATATCTAACAAAATAGACTTCAAACTAAAGTTAATCAAAAGAGATGGAGAACGACATTTCATACTCATTGAAGAAAAAAAATCTACCAAGACGAAATCTCAATTCTGGACATCTATGCTCCAAATGTAAGGGTGCCCACATTCGTAAAATAAACAATATTAAAGCTTAAATCACACATTAATCACTCTCACCAATGGACAGGTCATCTAGACAGAAACTAAACAGAGAAATAATGGAACTAATAGATGTTATGACTCAAATGGACCTAGCAGATATCTACGGAACATTTTACCCAAACATCTCTTGGAACTTTCTCCAAAACTGTCCATATACTCAGTCACAAACCAAATCTCAACATATACAAGAAACTGAAATAACCCCAGTTTCTTATCAGAACACCATGGATTAAAGTTGGATTTCAACGACAACAGAAACAACAGGAAGCCTACATGGAAACTGAATAACTCTACTGAATTACCACTGGTTCAAGGAAGAAATAATAAAGAAATTAAAGGCTTCCTAGAATTCAATGAAAATGAATAACAACATATCCAAACTTATGAGATACAATGAAAGTGGTGCTAAGAGGAAATGGAAAGATATCCTATTCTCATGGATCAGTAGGATTAAAAATGGCCATCTTACCAAAAGCAATCTACAAATTCAGTGCAATCCTCATCAAAATTCCAACACAGTTCTTTATGAACCTTGACAGAACAATACTTAACTTCATATGGAGAAACAAAAAAACCCAGAATAGCTAAAACAATCCTGTACAATAAAAGAACTTCTGGAGATATCACAGTCCCTGATTTCAAGCTGGGTTGCAGAGTTATAGTAATAAAACCCATATGGTATTATTGTAAAAACAGACAGACTAATCAATGCAATTGAATTGAAGACCCAGAAGTGAATCCACCCACCTATGGACACTTGATTTTTGACAAGGCCAAAATTTTACAATGGGGAAAAAGCATCTTCAACAAATGGTGCTGCTCTAACTGGATGTCAGCATGCAGAAGAATGCAAACAAATTCATATCTATCACCCTGACAAAACTCAAGTCCAAGTCGATCGAAGACCTCAATATAAAACTAGAAAAACTGAATCTGATAGAAGAGAAAGTGGGGAATAGCCTTGAACTCATTAGTACAGAAGACAACTTCCTGGACAGAACACCAATAGCACAGTTGCTAAGGTCAAAAATTAATAAATAGTATTCCATTAAACTGAAAATCTGCTATAAGGCAAAGGGCACAGTCAAAAGGAAAACACAGCAGCTTACAGAATGGGAAAAGATCTTCACCAACATGCACATCTATATATATCCAAAATATGTAAAAGACTCAAGAAACTAGATATCAACAAACCAAATAATCCAATTTAAAAATAGGATACAGATCAAAACAGAGAATTCTCAGCAGAGGAATCTCAAATGGCTTGGGAAGCACTTAAGAAAATGTTCAACATCTTTAACCTTCAGGGAATTTCAAATCAAAGTGACTCTGAGATTCCATGATATTCCTTTCAGAATGGCTAAGATCAAAAACACAAGTGACAGCTCAAGTTGGTAGGGATGTAGAGCAAGGGAAACACTCTTCATTGTTGATGGGGATACAAACTTGGACAGCCTTTTTGGAAATCAATTAAGGCAACTGGTAATTGATCTACCTCAAGACCCAGCTATACTACTCTGGGCATATACCTAAAGGACACCTCACCATACCACAAGGACACTTGCTCAACTATATTTATGTCAGCTTTATTAGTAGTAGCAAGAAACTAGAATAACTTAGATGCTCCTCAACTGAAGAAAAGATAAAGAAAATGTGATACATTTACACAATGGAATATTATTCAGCTGCTAAAAACAACAACATCATGAAATTTGCTGGCAAATAGATGGAACCAGAAAAGATCATCCTGACTCAAAAATCGGACTTAATTAAACTGAAAATCTTTTGTAAGGCAAAGGACACAGTCAAGGAAAAACAGCAGCCTACAGAATGGGAAAAGATCTTCAACAACCCCACTTACAGGTGGCTGTTAGTGGTAAAGTGTAGGATAATCATGCTACAATCTACAATCCCAGAGAAGCTAGGTAACAAGGAATTCTGGGGGCAGGGCACATGAATCTCACTGTGAAGGGAAAATAGACATTGCCAGTGGATGAGGGATCTTGAAGAGGGGGTAGGGATAGGAACAGGAGGGATCAGGTTGGGGGAAGATGGAGGCACAAACCAAGCCATGAAGAAGCTGGGTGTTCCCAGGGACACTTCAACAGCACAATGCCACTGATAGTCACACTACTGTACCTTCTGTCATTATCCATGTCACTTCTTTACTTGATCATGGTCCTAACACCATAGTCCTCATATTAGTCTTTGCAAAGAAACATCATATTTTGTTGACCAAATCCTTTTTAATTTTTATTTTGTTATTTATCCATTGGTCTTGGGTGATGTGTATTTCCTTTCCAGTAAAATCTTACTTCATTTATTTTCACTCTTTTATTTGGGGCTGCTCTTTAGAACATTGTGTGTCTCTTTCTGCACCAGCTTTTCCACCAGGTGGTTTATACATGCCACATGTGGTGGAATTAAACATTAGATGTGCACTCAAGTGATTATCATAAAGAACCTGACCCCTTATTGGAAAACCAAATAAACATTTATGAGAAAAATACTAACAATTAAAACTGACTTCAAATGTAGGGAAAAAACACTGTGATTAAATCTAAAAGTAAAAATCTAAAGACAGCCTCTGAGAGACAGATCAGCAGTAAAGAGTGCTCGCTGCTCTTGCAGAGGATCTGGGCTTGTTTCCCAGTTCCCACACCAGTTAGCTGTCCGCAGCAGTTCCAAAGGATAGAACTCTCTCTTGTGGCCTCCACTGAAGGCATTCAAACACACACACACACACACACACACACACATACACACACACACACGTAAATTAAAAAACACATTTAAAGTTAAAAGCCATTAACCAGGCTAGCCTCCTGTCTAGATTCTTTCCCTCTTTTATTAAAATAACCCTACTGTCTAACTTTACTTTCTGTTGCTGCAATGTAACACTGACCAAAAGCAACTTGGAGAGGGTTCCTTTGGTGTTCAGGTTACAGTCTACCATGGAGGAGAGCCAGTGCAGGAACTAAAGTCAGGAATCTGGAGCCAAGAACTGAAGCAGAGACCTGAAGCTCACTGGCTTGCTCCTCATGGCCCCTCAGCCTGCTTTCTTACACAATCCGGAACCACCTGCCCAGGGGTGGCACTGCCCCAAACGGGCCAGGCCTTCCCACATTAATCAAGAAAATTCTCTACACTCATGCCATGGCCAACTTTTTTGGAGGCAACTTCGTAATGTAGAGTCCCTCTTCCCAGGTGACTCTAGTGTGCCAAAGTGACAAAAATTAAATCAGAACACCTACATAAAGACAGTTTTAAGTATATATTCTATCCAAGCTTTGGGAAATATTAAACGAACAACTGAGCACGGCAAGAGAGAGGACTGAAGTAGGTGCTAGAAGCAAATTTTAGTTTGATCTGAAACATTGTGACTTAATACGTGGGAATGCATCCAGGTATTCTGGGTAAAATCACAAAATCACACTGAGATTTGGAAGTGAGGAGAGATAATTTGGTCAAGGTTGCTGTCGGGGTAGGGGAAGCTTCGGTACCCACCCACCTGTTCCAGCATACAGTGCAGTATCAGGGGCACGGAAATAAATTCCTCTGGAATTGGATTCAGCAAGTCATTGTAGTACCGCATGTCTACCTCGGTTGTGATGATGAAAGCCACTGTAAAATGCAGGAAAGGACATTGCCCAGTTAACATGCATTCTCCACTTCTTCCTGCGAGTCTGTGGACAAATTCAGACACATCGCGGTAGAAACTGTAGGTGGAGGGGCTGCTGACAGCAAGCACTGTGGAAGGGAGGGCGGCCAGTGCTCCAGTCACCGGAGGTGGCGCCTCAGCAGCTGAGGTCACACTTGCCTGGTGGGGCTTGTGGTTCTTCATACTGAGCTTTCTTCTTTCCAGGGGCTGGAGCAGTTGGAGGCGGAGGCTGAGAAAAACAAAATGAAAAGAAGCTATTTCATCAAACGTGTTTTTACATCACAGATCCATCATCAGCATCCTAAGAAATGAGGATGTGAAAAATCTAATCAGACACCTTACATCCCCCTGGTCTTGGTTTGAGTCATGATCCTTTTTTTTTTTTAAACATCCTTGCATCCTTGTCTTGGAGCATCTTGTCTCCTCTTGTTCAGAATATTATTGTGCACCATTTCCCAACAGATTTTCTGCCCAGCCTTTCACGCTCGTCTTTCATCCTATGTCTAACTCTGGCTCCTTTCTCTCAGTCCTTCTGTTCTCCAACTCAGGGGCTGTCTTAGTAAGGGTTTCTGCGGTTATGATAAAACACCATGACCAAAAGCAAGTTGGGGGTGGGGGATTACTTTCATCCTACACTCTCAGGTCACATGGTCCAACGCTGAGAGAAGACAGGGCAGGAACTGAAGCAGACTTCTTGGAGGGACACTGCTCACTGGCTTACCCAGTTTGCCTTTTTATATGTCTCAGAACCACCCAGGAATGGCGTTGCCCAAAGTGACCTGGGCCCTTAAACATCAGTCGTTAATGAAGAAAATGCCTGCTGACTTGCCTATAGGCCAATTTAAAAGAGGCATTTTCTCAATTAGAATTCCCTCTTCCCGGATGGACATGGCTTGTTCCTGGTTGTCCCCCACAAAAGAAATCTAACTAGAGTATTTGACCCTTGTCACCTTGACACACTAACACAACACTATCAAATAATATAATCTTTCCTTTTTTTTGTTCACCCAAAATCTCATATTAACATCACTATTGCAACACAAAACATTCAAACTTTTAAAAGTTCCACAGTCTAAAAATTCCAAGACACTGAAGGTTTAGTTTCTCTAAAAGTCCAGTGATTCTCAACTGTAGGATCCTATAAAATCAAAAATAAGTTCAAAGCTTTTTTGTTCCAAAAGGGAAAAATAAAGGCCTAGGCACTACTAAGTCAAAGCAAAACCAGACTTTATTAACGTCAAAAGTTCAGTGCTTGGTGTTTGGGGTCTAAGGGGCCTAGGCATCAATAAGGTCCAGTGAGCTGTGCTCCTCCACGGCTTCCAGTTCAGTTCCTGCCCTGAGTCCCTGCCCTGACTCCCCCAGTGAGGGAGTGTGACCTGAGAGTTCTAAGATGAAACAAACATTTCTTCCCCAATCTGCTCTTGGTCACAATGTTTTGTGGCAGCAATAGAAACCCTAGTTATAGTTTTTGTCATATCTCCTGCTCTCATCCTTCTCACACCATGTTGGAACTGCTGACATTGCACTCCCTTTCAAAAGTTCAATTCAGGAAAGGTGTCAGGAAATGAGCTCTGTTATGTGGTGGGGATCTTGCTGAGTATGAACACTGCATACACTGGGATTATTTTGGCAATACTCCCCTTGCACTACATGCTATACACGCTAGTCATTGCATCCTGAGCTGACAGGTGGTTCTTATGTGTTTTCTTATATATCAAGCAGCTGAGGAGTGTGTTAAGGTTTCTGTTGCTGTGATCAACACCATGCCCAAAAGTAAATTGGAGAGGAAACGGTTTATTCAGCTTATGCTTCCACATTGTAGTTCATCGCTGAAGGAAGTCAGGACAGGAACTCAAAACAAGGCAGGAACTTGGAGGCAGGAGCTGATGCAGAGGCCATGGAGGAGTGCTGGTTACTGGCTTGTTCCTCATGGCTTACTCAGCCTACTTTCTTATGGAACTCAGGACCACCAGCCCAGCGATGGTACCACCCACAATGGACTGTGCTGTCTGCCAGCAATCACTAACAAAGTATTCTACAGGCTTGACTATAGCTGGACCTTATGAAGTCATTATCTCAATTGAGGTTCTCTCCTTACAGATGACTCTATCCTGTGTCAGGTTGACATAAAACTAGCCACTATAAGGAGCTTCATAAAAATATTAACACAAGGCTCTTAATGTTCTTGCTAGGGCCTGTTTCCTTGGTCCCATCCTCATGCCTCAACACAGCAAGCAGTAGTATGCTGATACAGGTCTTTACTATAACTTTTTATTCATATGCTTTCTAAGTATGAAAATCAAGTCACTCATTCCATCCAGTAGCCTACTACAGATGCTAGAGTGCATGCCCACCTCTGGAATCGGCATTGCTTCCAGCATGGTTTTCTCATTAACCACTTGTGGGACGTTGATGAGCTGCATGCTTTCCAGATAGTGCTGGTGCTGCCTCTTCCAGTCCAGACTGTCGTACATCAAACAGGCAACATTTTCAAAGATCTCGGTGCCCAACTCGAGCTAGCAGTGAGAGAAGCAGTGACAATTCATCAATGGTTTCATACTCTCAGAATGTTTGTAACTTTCTAAAAAAACCCAAATCCTCAAGCACTGCTGATGGAGTCTTCATACATAAGATCTTCAATCCCTTTGTGTGCGCCATAGAGTTTCTGACTCTGCCTAATACTACAAGAGGCTGACTGATATTTCAGTGCAGTGGAAGGCTACCTCTTCACTAGTTTCTACAATGTGCTCCATATGCTCCGTGTCTGGAATCCCAAAGCATGTCAGATGATTCTGATACCTTTGCCTGAAGACAAGCAGACAAGTGGCTGGTGATTGCTTGCCTTCCTATGCAAGAACTGAAATAAGCATTCTGGATCCCCTTGCTTGACTTTGTGTATCATCTGAGTACGGTGTAGTCTGTGTGTGATCAAGTTTCTCTCTTTCCTCCCTTCTTCCTTTCCACTGAGCTGGCTTTTACCTGCAGTGCTGCTAGCAAGAAGCTTAAAGAAATCCAAATTACTGATGCTGTGGTATCCAAAGATTTTATGAGTTGGCAAACCAATTATAGATCTGCTATGGTTATTACTTAAGCTTTCATTTCCTGGAGTATGAAATTTCTGGGATGGCTGTGTCTGTCTGTTTGGAAGCAGAGAAGCATTAAGTAGGCTGATCCTACATGTGAGTTGAAGAGGTAAGGTAGAATGGGAAGCCCCTGTGGGACCAGTGACTCATAGGCTGGCAGACAGTAAGGGAGATGCTTGGCTCTGTACGTTATAGCACATCTGACTGTTATTTCACATAATCACATGAGGACTGATGAGTTTTCAGCTAACCTTCAACCAGGTATCCTGTGCCTATCCAGATGCTGGCACATAAAGACAGTTTTCATTTTTATTGCCAAAGGAAATACAGTAACATTTCTGCCCAAGATCCATTAGCCTATGCAATTCATTTTACAATTCATTGGTAAATGATATACTAAAGTCTGGCAATTTTTTCAGCAAGCAGGGTTTATCTTGAGATGTTTCAGATGTCTGACATGAGCTCTTAGCTCATCTTGATTGACATTTACTTAATGTAAAGTTTTCATTACCTTAGTTCAGAGAGTACTCCTGCTTATTTGAGCCAAAGGATGCAAATGCTTTCCTCCAGGCAGGGAGGAAGAAAGACTCACTCACTGCTGGCTCTTAAAACAGATATGTGGTCATTAACAACTCACAGATCAGAGTGTACCACTATGGACCTAGCCTGCTTCTATGAAGTAGCCTTATACATTCGATGTTTATGAAGTTATCCTGAGTTGAAAATGGACCATGGCCTTCAGTATCAAACCTGATGGCCCTTTCTCCCAGAATTCAATTTTATTGCTGAGTCATTTTTGAGGTAGACCATCCCCATCATCTTCAGTGATGAATCTTTCACTCATAGAGACATACCTAAGCTGGGGTTATTGCAGATTGGTACCAACCAAAGCCCTGTCATGAAGAAGATGATCAACAATTACTTCAAATAGACTGATAGAAGAGCAGAGGGACTAGCTGGGCAACACAGTCTATGGTTCTTTGGAAGAGTTGGATGTTTTCCAGGCCCAGCTGGATACACTGAACATCAATCTAGTTCTGAATTTAGGAATGTTCTACTGTAACAAGCATTTAAAGTAATATTTCATTTCAACATAAAACCATTTTTTTCTGAAGTTAAATTATCATGTCAATGTTCTACTTTGTATTTGCTAAGATAATAAGGATAGCCATGGTTCCTTTCTTTAAACTGGAACGGATGCATTGTTAAGCTATCATCTTTCCATGCCATGCTCTGAAGTGCTAGGAGGATCCCCTTGTAGAGTATACGGTGCTCCCAAATGGCACCTGTGTATCAGGGCTACTCACCAGAAGCCATGTTGGAGAAGTGTTCTCACCACTAGCCACCACAAACCACCACCCAGAGTTTCATCGAAAGTTCATACTGGTTTCAAGACATTTCCACAAAAATCTTTCCTGTCCCTCTGCTGCTCACAATCAAGTTGACACATTTCCTCCATTTACAAGGTGAGACCCAAGTAATGATCTCAGTGCAGTGACTTTGACCAAAGAATGGGTGTGACCCAAACTCTTAGCAAACAGAAAAATCCCTGTATAAGCCTTGCTACATTTTATTAGCAAAAATGAATAACTTGAAAATAAATAAAATGGAATGATCTGTCCTCTAGTGGACAGGAAGTTGTGGAGATGGGGGTAAGAAGCAGGGTGCTGTGAGTGATTCTGAGTCTTCTGAAGTTGTGATCACAGCATGGTGCTCACCTGATGATGCAATGATGTACTCTGTTTGGCAATAGGACCTTTTGTGTTCTGCCATCATATTCCTGGGGGTTAAAGTAGACCCACAGAAAAGCACACTCACTTGTGAAGATACAACAGGTACTTGGTTTGAGGACAGGTTAGCATCCTCCTGGGAAGTATGCTTCAGAAACTGCATGATGGGATTTCCTATGCCATCCTGAACAAAAATACATGCAAGTACTTTCTCTCTCTGTATGTGTGAGAGTGCACATATGCACATGCACACATTCATGTTTGCATATGGGTTCACATGTACACATATGCAAGTTGGGAGGCCAGAGGTTGACACTGGGTGTCTTCCTCAAGTGCTTTTCACTTTGTTTTTTGAGATGGGGGTCTTTCACTAGACGGTAGGAAGGAGAAAGGCAAGGTAGGAAGTCTGAGAACAGGAGAACAGAACAAGGTCTGGAGTGGGCGGTATTGTTAACACTGGCTGTGTCTACAGCCAGCCTGCATACAGCTTCATTGCCACTCCCAGTACAAGGCTGACATTCCTTTTTGCCATTGGCAAGTGTCTAATACTTTATGCTGAAAGGTTTTTCTTTTTTGTTTTTCAACTTTACAATGGAGCAACCTAATGGTATTTATTCAAATCCTTACTATCCTTAACGGTTCAATTGTAGTCTGTCTCTTTTTTTGAGGTTATAACTAATTACAACATTTTTCTTTCCCTTTCCTCCCTCTAAATGCTCGCATATAACTCCACTCTTCTTCAAATTCATGACCTCTTTTACCATCAATTATTAACTGTATGCATATACACGTTCTTATGTACATATATAAAACCTGTCACACACATGTAATGTTACTTGTGTGTATGTTTTCAGAGCTGACCATTTGGCACCAGACAATCAATGTGCTCTTCCTGGGGAAGGGCACTTCTCCCATTTTGGCATTCTTCTGTTACCTATGGTTTCTTGTGTAGAGTTGAGGCCTCACAGGCATTTTCTGGTTCAATTTGGCATGTTTGTTGGTGTCTATCTTGTTCAGCTCACATTTGGGCAGTCATTTTGGTGAGAGTTCATGTCTGAAGCTTTTGGTATTGCTAGGACATATACACTTACAGCAAACTCTCTGATCCCCTGACTTTTACAATCCCCCCATGATGTTGGGGTGCAGGAATGTTTCGGAAATGCACCCATTGTGACTGTGACAAGTATGCATTTTGCTTGTGGTGCTCTGTACTGGTCTCAGTCTCTCTTAATGTTTTTGTTTCTTTTACTGAGTGTCACCCATCAAAGCAATAGGATCAGGTTTCCACTGTATGACTGCCTCTTGGCTCAGAAGCAGCTCCCTCTGTTCTCTCGGTCAGCTTTTTCCTTGGCCATTTTCCTTTCCTTTATCCCTTTCCCATTCCTCTTTCTCCTTTCATCCTTTCTTTCCTTAGTTCTCCTGCCCTCCCTTTCCCTCCTATCCTCCCCTCTCTCTCTTTAGCTGACCATAGTCTCTTTACAAGTATATCTTTTCCATCCGGCTTTGCCCAGATCCTTTCAGAAGAACCCTCAGTGGTTGTAATTTATCCACAGGTTCTGCTGTCAGTTCAGCTCTTGATGGTGAAATGCATACCTTATAAGGGGTTAACATGTAACACAATAAAGCAAAACTTACCATCATTATGGTAATACATATTCACATTTTAGTTATTACATAGATTATTATTGAAGCATGAGCCAGAACCAAGTGTCATTAAATAAAATAACCACCATCTGCTACATCTTATTATCATTAATACACAGACTAAAAATTACAGAATCAGGCTATATCCAACAGTGGCCCTTTTCTCATCATTGTACAAAGATGAGAAAGCCCAATAAAAAGCATTGTTCCCAGTTTCTGGTAAACAATTGTGGAATGAGAGACATAATAGACCACTACATGCTCTAACTGACAAGTGTACTCACCATCATCTCATTGTCTGACCAGTCAGAAGGAAAATGCGCCACATTGACCATGTATTGGAGTCGAGCAACATCAAAGAGATTTGTTTCAGGTTTCTCATTATTCAGGATTGGTTCCAAGTACTTCCAGAAAATTTCAAGTTCCTTAACGGAATTTTCTGTCTTCAGTTTTTTGGCTTCTATGTCTAATAATAGCAAAATGTTTTACTGTGAAATGAATGTATTGGATTTCTCTCCACTTTATCTTGATGCCGTGGGTCATATGTGTGATGAGATGTCTGTAAAGTATTAGTGAAGTGCAAATACAAAAATATAACTTTGAGAAGTTTTTAAAGTGGAAAGACACAACTATAAAATCAAGAGATTGCTATATGAGCTCACCACTCTCCGTCTCACAGTGGAGGCCCAGAGAGGTTGTGATGAGGTCACACATTTCAGGAACTGTTGATGCCGAAGGTACCCAGTGACCTGATGTTGCACCTGCATAGAGCCAGTCTTCCCTCCAGATCATGCATTCACCATTTTTGTGCTTGCCACATAACTCATTAAAAAGCTGAAGTAGATCTGCTTCTCACAGGCCTACCTACAGCCCGACTGGGTGAGAGTGATTTATGCTTCAGTTATCTTTCAGTCATGTTACAGCAACTACATCTTTCCTGGATATTTGCCTCCTGACTGTCAAGTGATAGTGGATTTCCATAAAGTTGGATTTGAAAGCTTACCTGAAATATTTATGCTTTTTATATCTATAACTAAAGAGTTAGGTCTGCTACTATGACCTCATCATTCTATGGTAAAACCTAATATTATCTTATTGTATATGCTTTTTTGAGACAGAGTTTCATCTAGGCTGACCTGGAGCCTGAAAATTGCCTCAAACTCATGGTCAATCCTCCTGTCTCAGCCTCCTAAATTCTGGGATTAGACATATGAGCTACTATGCTTTCATCATAGAGTATATTTGTATATTGATTTATTAGTACATGTACTGTCTTATAGAGACTATATTTGGTTCTGATACAGTATTTTCTTGACAGTTTCAGCAATAAGCTAATATATATATATATGTATGTATATGTATATCTTTTGATATAGTCAATGGTCTGGGATTGAATCTCAAGTTTCTGACTTAATAGTTGTCTCTTGTCCAAAAATCCTTTTTGATAAAATGGAAATAATAAGACTTACTCCCTGAGTAGCCACATGGGGCCAGGACTTAGTAGGTGATTTTCATTCTCCTTCCTTTCCTCCCTTACAGTCTCTGCAGACTCATTCTCGGTACTATAGCAGTCAGTTTTCAGGAACCCTTCCTCCTACCCTATCTCCATGCCCTAGGGACTCCACCTCTTGGTGTTGACCCAGGGTTCTTCTACTCTTTCATTCATGTCTCTCCTGACTCATTCTTTGCCCAAATGCAGACTGTTTGCAGGAACCTCTATTCCTACCCTATCTGCTTTCTATGGTACTCTGCCTTTTGTTTAGACCTAGATGCCTCAGCATTTTTCCCCGTATCCATTTTTAGTCCTCCATTTAGCATATCTCCATCCAGTTTTACCACTCACTGACCATAAAAACACTCTCTACTGTGTACCCCTACCCCAAAGCCACCACACTTGTCTAGGATCCAGAGAGGACAACAGAAACCAAAGAATGGAACATCTAGTCAAGAAAGATGAGACCAGATATTGACACCAAGAAAATCATCATAATTCCAGGTGCCTAGATCCCAGTGCAAAAACACAAACATGAACGACCAAGCCAATATGCTTCCACCAGAAGCCAGCAATCCTATTCCAGGAAGTCCTGAGAAATGCAACAAGAGAAGGACTTCAACACAGAAATTATGAATATGTTCAAGGATCTTATAGAGGGCATGAATAAGGAAATCCCTTAATGAAGTCTGTGAAGATGTAAAAAGTTGAGTGACATAATGAAAGCAATAGAACACATGATAGTGGATTTAATAAAGAAATAAAGTCACTGAAAAAAACTCCAAGCTGAAATAATACTGGAAATGAAAAATTTAGGATGTTAAACAAAAATCTCAGAGATAGGCCTTATGAACAGATTACAAGATGTGAAAGATGAAATCTCAGATGTTGAATACAAGGTAGAGAAATGAACACCTCAGTCAAAGAAAAATGTTAAATCTAAAGGAATCCAGGCATAAAACATCAGAGAAAATGGACACTATGAAAAAAATACAAATCTATGAATAATAGGGATAGAAGAAGGATTTAAAACAACCTAGGTAAGAGACACAGAAAATATTTTTAACAAAATTATAAAAGAAAATTTCCCCAGTCTAAAGAAGGAGATGCTTATCTAGGTACAAGGAGCATATATAACATTATGAGACAGGAGAAGAAAAGGAGTTTCCCATGATGCATACTAATAAAACACTAAATATACAGTTCAAAGAAAGATGCAAGGGAAAAAGACGAGGTGGCATATAAAGACAGATCCATTATTATTTTCCCATGGAAAATCTAAAAGGCAGAAGGACCTGGAAGGGTATTCAACCAACTCTGATAGACCACTGATGCTTTAGCCCAGACTACTATACCCAGCAAAACTACCAATCACAATTGACAGAGAAAGAAAATCATTCCACAATAAAACCAAGTATAAGCAACTTCTATTTACCAACCCAGTGCTACAGAAGGCACTAGAAAGAGTACTTCAGTCTGAACCACACCTAAGATAATATAAGGAATAATCCTACAAGAGCAAATTAAAATGAGCGGGGTGGGGCGGGGTGGGGTAGGGATGAGGAACTATAACAAACTGATTGAATTAGAAAATTGGATCCATTCTTCTATATTTAAGAAACATATTTACCTAATCAAGGACAGATCTCACCTTAGGGTAAAAGGATGAGAAAATGTATTCTAAGCAAATGGGCTCAAGAAGCAACTGGGTGTAGCCATTTTAACATTTGACAAAAATAGATTTCAAATCACAAATAATCAAAAGATGTAGAGAAGGAATTACTCATCAAAATAAAAATATACTGAGAGGATATTGCAATTCTAAACATACATGCATCAAACACAAGGGAATCCAAGTTCATAAAAAAAAAGACTACTAGAACCAAAATCACGTATTGACCTTCACACAATAATAGTGGGTAACTTCAATAACTTCAGTATCCCACTCTTACCAATTAACACATCATCCAGACATAACTAAACAGAGAAATGCTGGGGGTAAATAATGTCATGATATCTACAGAACATTTCACCCAAATGAAAAAGGATATACTTTCTTCTTGCAGGGTATGAAATTTTCTCCAAAATTGACCACAAATTTGGACACAAAGCAAGCCTCAGCAGATACAAGAAAATTTAAATAATGCCCTTGATATGAGAATTTTTAAAAAGTATAATAACAACGGAAAGACAAATTCATGAATACAGAACAAAGCAGAAGCTGCTGCCGATCCAGCCATAGCTGATCCCACTCTGCCTCTCTGCTGCTTGGTGTCTGACCACCCCAAGCGCAAGCCAGAGAAAAAGAGCAAGACTGCCCCCCTTCTTTTCTTTGAAGGGGTCCCATTGTAGACAAGAAGCACCACCTCTATGGGGACAGATAATCTAAGGTTACGGGTGGAGTGATTACCCACTACACTTCTTTTTGTCGAGACTCTATTATCTCTACAAAACTCTATTTCTCCTCATACCTATCATACTTCACCAACCTGGAAAAATTAAAAGAAATGGATTAATTTCTCGATATTTACAACTTTTATTTTTTGGTTTTTCAAGGCAGGGTTTCTCTGTGGCTTTGGAGGCTGTCCTGGAACTAGCTATTATAGACCAGGCTGGTCTCGAACTCACAGAGATCCGCCTGCCTCTGCCTCCCGAGTGCTGGGATTAAAGGCGTGAGCCACCAACGCCCGGCTCGATATTTACAACTTATCAAAGGTAAATCATGATTAAATAAGTAATTTAAACAGATCTATAACCCCTAGTGAAATAGAAACAGTAATCAAAATTCTCCAAACTTATAAAAAGCCCTGAACTAATGAATTCAGCCTAGAATTCTACCACACATTCAAAGAAGAATTAATGCTAATACTTCTCAAATTATTCCATAAAATAGAAGCCCAGGGAACATTTTCTATTTTTTTAAACAAGGTGACTATTCCCCTGATACCAAAACCACACAAATGCTCAAAAAAGAGAAAAAATAAAAGTCAATATTCTTTATGAATACTGGAAAAATTCTCAATAAACTACTTCCAAAGTGAATCCAAGAACAAATGCATCAAAAATATTATCAATCATATCAAAAATATTATCAATCATATCAAGTTAGCTTGATTCCAGAGATGTAGGTATGGTTCAATATGCATGATTTAATAAACATAATCTGCCATATAAACAGACTGAAAGAAAAAAACCACATAATCATTTAATCAGATGCAAAAGGACTTTGACAAAATCCAATACTCCTCATGATAAGAGTCCTAGAAAGATACAGAGGACATATCTAACCATAATAAAAGCAATTCATAGGAAGCCCACAGCCAACATCAATCTAACCGGGGAGAAACTCAGAGCGTTTTCACTAAAATCATGAAAAAGACAAGTGGATGCCCACTGTCTCCATATGTATTCTACACAGTACTTGAAGTCCTAGGTAGAGCAATAACACAACTAAAGGAGACTAAGTGTATAAAGAAGTCAAAGTATCTTTATTTGTAGATGACATAATTTTATACATAAATAACCCTATAAATTAAATCAGGGAACTTTTAGAGTGGATAAATGCCTGCAAAGTAGAAGGATACAAAATTAATAATTAAAATAAGTAGTTTTCCTATACCCAAATAACAAATGATCTGAAAAATATCAGGGAAACAATACTTGTGCAATAGCTTAAAAGTCATCTTTGCGTAACTCTAACCAAGCAAGTAAAGACTTGTATAGTGAAAACTTTAAGACATTGAAGAAAAAAATTGAAGAAGATATCAGAAGATAAAAGTATATTCCATGTTCATAGATTGGGAGGAATAATGTATCTAAAATGGCCATCCTACAGAAAACATCATGTAGATTCAATGTACTCTCCATCAAATTCCAAAACAATTCTTCACATAAATTGAAAAAGTAATTCTCAGCTTCATATGGAAACACAAAAACTCTCCAGGATAGCTAAGACTATCCTGAATAACAGCATAACAGCAGCAACAAAAGTACTGTTGGATTTATCACTATTCAGAGTTACGTTGTGCCACAGATTTATAATAATAAAACCAGCACAGTATTGCCATAAAAATAGACATGCTGATTGATGGAATCTAATTGAAGATACGGACATAAGTTCACCTATGGAAACCCAGTTTTTTACAATGAAGCCAAAAATACAAACCGGGAAAAGGACAACATCTTCAACAACTGGTGCCAGGCAAACTGGATGACTGCATGAAAAAGAATGCAACTCAGTCCATACTTACCACCCTATAAAACAAAACAAATCAAACAAAACAAAAAACCAACTCCAAATGGATCAAGGGCGTCAACATAAGGGCAGACATACCCAGTCTTATAGAAGAGAAAGATACCATCTTGCTTCTGTCAGTTTGGCTAAAATCAAAAACACCAATGACAGTTTATTCTGGAGAGGATGTGGAGAAAGGAGAACACTCCTCCACTGCTGGTGGGATGCAAACTCATACAGCCACTTTGGAAATCAGTATGGCGGTTCCTCAGAAAAATGGGAATCAATCTACCACAAGATCCAGGAATTCTACTCTTAGGCAATACCCAAAAGATGCACATTCATATAACAAGGACATCTGTTCAACCATGTTCATAGCAGCATTATTTGTAATAGCCAGAACCTGCAAGTAACCTAGATGTCCCTCAACTGAAGAATGGATGGAGAAAATATGGTACATTTACACAATGGAGTATTACTCAACAGAAAAAAAAATGGAATCTTGAAATTTGCAGGCAAATGGATGGAACTAGAAGAAACCATCCTGAGTGAGGTAACCCAGTCACAAAAAGACAAACCTGGTAGGTACTCTCTCATATATGGATTTTAGACATAGAGCAAAGGAGTATCAGCCTACAATTCTCACCTTCAGAGAAGCCAGGAACCAAGGAGGACCCTAAGAGAGACATATATGTTCCCCCGGAGAAGGGGAAAGGGACGAGATCTCCTGAGCTAGTTGGGAGCATGGGGGGAGGGGAGAGGGAGTCAGTTGCATCTTACTGAGTATATTAACCACACCTCATGGCTGGCCCTGTTCTCAGGAGTAGCTGACCAGCACAAAACTGACTCAATTTCTGTGGACTTTTTGTCCCATTATACTTCTGGGGGGCATTTTTTAAAAAATCTTATTGGCATCTTGCCTTTATATTTTCATTTCTGTTTTGTGGATTTTTGTGTGCATGTTTTTTGTTTACATTTTTTAAAAGAGAGAGTAAAGGAACTTACAACTTGTTCTTTTACTTTCTCTTTTAAAAATGCAAACAAAAATACACACAAAAATAAGCTTAAAAGCATAATGGAAATATCCATAGTAACATTAAAACCAATACACGCAGTGGGAATAACTTGGCTCCTGGTGTCGCAGATTTACATTGATTCTCAGTACTGTTACCTAAAGGGTACAGTAGCTTCCTGCTTTTTTCTCATAGAGGCAATCTAGCATAGTTCCTTAACATGAAAACCTCAAGGCTCAAAATGGCTAAACAGTACTGTGTCTGGAGTGTGGCCCCATTAATTTCTCAGTTTAAGTCTTGAAGAATGACTCCTCTGCCTTTTATCACAAAGAGTTAGTAATACATGTAGAGTGACTAACATATGGAATCCAATTAGAGAGGTGGCGCAGTAGTTAAGAGCACTTGCTGTTTTTCCAGAGGACCCAAGTATGGGTCTAGCAACCATGTCAGGTGGTTTATAACCACTTATAATACCAGCTCCAAATGATCCTGTACCCTCTTCTGCCCCCCATGAACACACACATACATATACATACACACAGACACAGACAGACAGACAGACAGACAGACAGACAGACAGACACACACACACACACACACACACACACACACACACCTAACTGTGTGATCTTTCCTGGGTTGTTTGGTGAAGATGTCATTTGGAAGCAAAAAGTCTCTACAGAGATTGATCCAGCCCTGGCTTTGACTCAACATTACAGGTCAAAAGTTCCTGAGAAACACAGTTATGTAACCACACTTGCTTCCAGCTAAAAGACTGAGAAGTCAAAGTTGTGTAACCAAGTCTTCTGACCTGCGATCCATGTTTTCTGGGACTACACAGGGATACAAGCACAGAGTATGAATTTAATTTGCCAAATTTATGACTCTTGGCTAATACAAGCAGAATAAATAGCAAATCAGTCTTGAAAGGATTTAATAAAGTGAGTATTTTATGACCATGTTTCAGCTAGCAGATTGCATTTGTGCTCGACGGACAGAGGGTAATATTGATGAACTCGGGAGTTGTATAGCCAACTGCATACCTTCGGGCTGAAGGGTAGCTTCCTGCTGCTGGCTGACTGCTGCCAGGTGGGTCTGCAGAGGTTCGTAATTCTCTGAAGATATTTTAATCACACTGGTTATAGGAATGCCAAGCTCAGTCATAATGGCTAAGATCTGAGGGTTGTTGAAGCCCACGACAATAATGTAATGCTGGGCACCATCATCTGGTTCATCATCTATTGGAAATACCATAGAGAAGGTCAGCTATCATTGTTAGATAGAACAGGTTGTCCCCAGGCAGATCAATGCTGATATGCATTATGCATGCATTTGTAATCCCTCTGACTTGCCAAGACTCAGCCAGTTGGCTGGAATGCAGGTCTGTTGACTGGTTTTCATTATTACCCTTCCAGTAAAAAGACTGTGGCTATTTTACAGTATATTAAATCATGTTTGCAAATGAGACATAGGCATACTAGGAGGGCCAACATGCATGGGGCCTGTGGCCATGGAAAATGGTGCTTGGGTTTTTGTCAGAGTTTAGCCTGTAACTAGTTCCTTTTGGTTCCAATATCTTTTGAACAATATCTGGCTTGACTCCTGAATTACAAGTCGCTGCAGCTTTCTGGTACTTTATAAGTAGAGGTGTTTACAGGGTAAGGAAATATGGTGGATGCTCTCTGTGGCACAGCACTGAATGAATTCATGTCACTTGTGGGGAGAACCCTGTGTATCAATTGTGAGGCAACTGTTTATTGCATTTCATTAAAAAGTATGTACTATAATTTTCTTAGTGGTTCTCTCTTCTCTTTTTCCAGGTGATGCTCCTTATGAATATTAAAACATGAACATTTCTTAGAGAATGATATTCTGGTGGTGAAAATCATTGTCTTGATTCAGTGCTGACTATGCATTCATTTTTAAGTAATTATTTCTCCCAATCACTAAAATGATTAACTTTGGTGTTGCTCAAGGGATGCATAGCATCATTGCTTCTGGGAGGAAGAAACTGATAAAAGATGCAAAAGAAAGGTCACTTCTCTCATTAAAACACAGTAAAGACCAAAACTGCTGGAAAAAAATCAAGTCTACTGATTACAAATAAGAAACAAATAAAGATGGTAGCAGGTAGTACTGTCTGGGCTCTTAGAGAACCAACAATGCGTCACTAGTAACTCCTGAGGATGACTCATTTTTGCATCAGTCATTTAAAATAGAAGGAAGTTCTATTTGGTTTCCTTGAGACAGAAAGATGGTGGGAATGTTTGAGTTAAGAATCTGTGCTCTATGAAAGAGATATCTTGGTAGAGGGAGCCATTAGGAGGTTAGGGAGAAACATGGTGCTAGAGAAATTCTCAAGAATCTATATAGATGACCCCAGATACGACTCCTAGCAATTGTGGAGAGGGTTCCTGAATGAGCCTTCTCCTTTAATCAGACTAGTGACTACCCTAATTGTTATCACAGAACCTACATTCAGTAACTGATGGAAGCAGATGCAGTGACCCACAGCAAATAACTGGGCTGAGATCCTGGAGTTCAGTTGAAGAGAGGGAGAAAGGATCATATGAACAAGGGGGGTGTCAAAAACATGATGGGGAAATCTACAGAGACAACTGACCTGAGTTAGTGGAAGTTCATGGACTATGGACTTACAGCTGGGGAAACTGCCTGGGACCAAACTAGACCCTCTGAATGTGATGGTTATGTAACTTGATCTGTTGGGGGGAGGGACTGGCAGTGGCACCAGGACCTATCCCAGGGGCATGAACTAGCCTTTTGGAGCCCACTCTCTATGATAGGATACCTTAATACAGGGAGGAGGGTCTTGGCTCTACCTCAACTTTGTATGCCAGACTTTGTTGACTCCCCAAGGAAGGGCTTACCCTCTGAGTAGTGGATGGGGGGTGGGAAGGGAGGGAGGTAGGGGTGGGAGAAGGGGGAGGGAGTAGGAACTGGGATTGGTATGTAAAATGAAAAATAAATTTTAAATAAAAAAGAATCTGTGCTCTGTATGCATCTCAAATTATTAGATCCAATTGCTACTGCTCCTCACGTGAATCAATTTTTATTCCAATTACTTGTCTCTCTATGTGTGTTGCAGCCATGCATGTGTGTACCTTAATACGTCTGAGAAGGCCAGGAGACAGCTTGTGGAAGTGGGTTCCCTCCTTCCACCGTGAGAAACCTGGGGATGGTGTGTAGACGGTCAGGCCCGAGAGAGAGGAACTTTCCTCATGGAGCCATCTTGCTGGACCATTTTCATGTTGCCTATAATTACACTTCACTTTTCATTATGTTCTCAAAAAGACAGTAAGCTTCCTGGTGGCCCAATCACTTGTTACTTCATTCTTTGCTTTCATGATGCAAAGGTGCCCATGGAGACGCATGCTAAATAAATATTTGCTAAAGCCATCCATAGACTGCAAATAGAAATATTTTTCAATCCAAGTGTCACCGAGTGTAAGCTATTTATGGCCTCATAATAAATGAAAAGACTAGGAATGATGGATCCTGATCCATAAAGCAAGAGGAGAAAGACACCACCCACTGACCAATGTAGGATTTGATGTCGTCCTCATCCCCTCTCCGTTTTAACTGGGTGGTCTTCTTCACAGCTGCAGACACCTCAGGCTGGTCTTTTCCCTTTCCTTTCCCGGCCTTGGCACTGGCGGCCTTCTTCTCCTTGGGAGACTTCACTTTTCCTTTGTCCTTTTCCGACTTTGTCCTTTCTTCTACCATCTGCAAGGAGAGATTACATCCTTAGCCTCCCAGCTGTCTTGTGAGCAAGGAATGGTCTCCCCAAAATCAGGCAAAGCAATCCTCCAGTTCCCATCACCAAAGCAACTCTTTGTTTCACTGAATTCTATTATCATGTGCCATTTATTCATTGGTGAAGTTAGGACAGTACAGATTTCAACTTGAAGTTGTGATGGGCACATCTGTGGAGGGCAGTGCTAGGCAGGCATGGGGGTGGGTGGGAGGGTACCAGGAGGCCGTTTAAAAGATTAGCCTCGTGGGAGAGACTGATCTGAAGGAGTCTATCAGCTATGTTGTGCTGCAGTGGGGTAGGGCAGAGTTGGGGTGGGGAGTCAAACACTCTGGTGTCAGGAGCTTGCATTTGTCTCTTGAGCCCAACAAGCAAATAAACAAATAAAGCAAAACAGAGAAAACCGGGGAAACAAAGAATAGGCTTTCTAAAATCTCCTTGCCAATGTTTTTCATGTTGGATATTTTTAAAAGTTAAAAGGTCTTTGGAGACCTTAACACTGAAAAATTCTCTTTATTACAGTTCTACTTAAAAGCATACAGCCCTGACCAGTGGCTACTATCTGAAACACAGAAAGGGGGTCAGCAGAGGCCACTAGTCACATGACTTCTTCATAGATTACTCCAGGGCTTGATTAGTCCACATATCTGTGGGAAGATCTAATACTTACCACCTTCCCTTCATAAATCCAAGCAAACTTTGCATATTGTTTCATAGTGTAATTGTCCATGTTTATAAAACTGGAAGTGCTTATTCTTACTAAAATGATGCTGGAGTACTGGTCCCAAGAGGGTGACTCTACAGAAGATTTACAATATATGGCTCTTGTTAAGTTTACCCATGCACAGAAACACTGAAGACAAAAAGTAATTGAAATATTATACGACTGTTTTGGGCTTTGATATCCATTTCTTAATGTTATGGAAACTAATTTGGAAACTTTTCAGATATCATAGATAGGGTAAGTTGAAGATAGGAAGCTTTGCTACTCTTCATGAACTTTAGTTGCCCAGGGCTCTGAAGAACTCAAGCTAGTTTTGGCTTTCATGACTGGTATCTTTGGTGCCAAAGGATCTCCTGCCTAGCATGGGGGCTCCAATGCAGGCAACACTGCCTTTCCAGCGCTGGCTCCTCAGCAGCATTGGGAAACAAATATCTGTGAAGGCTACTGCTGCTGATGGAGCACTATGGGTAAAGACTGTGAAAGTACACCACTGCTTCTGGAAAATGAAGAGAAATTTAAAGTGGTTGAACCCTATGCAAGTGGTAAAAGGACATGCTAGAAGAAATGGAGGCAATAGAAGCAACAGCAGCAGGAGCTGTAACAATATCTACAGCATTAGCAGCAACAACATCCTCATCATCATCTTTAGCAGCAGCAACAAAAATATCCCCATCATCAACTTCAGCAACAGCAACAACATCCTCATCATCATCTTTAGCAGCAGAAACAACAAGAACATCCTCATCACCATCTTCAGCATTAGCAGCAGCAACAACAACATTGTCATCATTTTCAGCAGTAGCAGCAGCAGCAGCATAAACCAGCCCTATGTCAGACAGACAAGGAATTAATCTACCACTAGACCCAGCAATTCCACTCTTAGGCATTTATCCAAATGAGGCAGGTTCATACAACAAGGGCATCTGCTCCACTATGTTCATAGCAGCATTGTTTGTAATAGCCAGAACCTGGAAGCAACCTAGATGCCCCTCAACTGAAGAGTGGATAGAGAAAATGTGGTACATTTACACAATGGAGTATTACTCAGCAGAGAAAAACAATGGAATCTTGAAATTCGCAGGGAAATGGATAGCACTGGAAGAAACCATCCTGAGTGAGGTAACCCAGTCGCAAAAAGACAAACATGGTATGTACTCACTCATATATGGATTTTAGACATGGATCAGGATAGTGCCAGTCTGTACTTCCACAGATAGAGAGTCTGGGAAACAGGAAAGAACCTAAAAGATATGCATATATGCATAGTACCCAAGAGAAGAGGATGGAGACAAGATCCTCTGAATGGATGGGGAACACGGCGAGGGGTGGGGGGGGGGAGTGGGAGCTGGGAAGAAGAGAGGGGGTGAAGAGGAAGAGAGTTGGTCATGGGGGAACAGGAAGTTGAGGGGGTGGGGGTAGAATAGGGGGAAGAGGGAATCATAGGTTCGAAGACAGATCAGGCACCAGAGTGACCTCGAGTGATCTAAAGGGATAACACCAATTGGCAAGCTAAGCAATAGTGGAGGGACCACCTCGAATGCCCATCCCTGATAATGAACTTGATGTCTATAACTATCCAGGAGCCTTCATCCTGTGACTGATGGAAGCAGAGGCAAACACACAATTAATCGCTGAACTGAACCCAAGGAACCCAGTGACAGAGAGAGAGGAGTGATAAGCAAATTGGCAAAGAATGGGCTGGCAAAACCAGCAGAGACAGCTGAACTGAACAGGGGAGAGCTCTTGGACCCCAGACCGACAGTGGGGAGGCCAGCATGGGACTGATCTGAACCCCCCCAAATGTGAGTGTCAGTGAGAAGGCCTGGGCAACCTATGGGGCCCTGAGCTGTGGATCAGTGTCTATCCCTGGTATACAAACTGTCTTTGTGTGCCTATAGCACAAAGAGAGATGCTCTCTCAGCCTGGACTCTTAGGGGAGTGCCTGGACCCTACCAAGAGTAAAATGACAGACTCTAGATATCCCCTATGGGGAAGGATTGGGCAATAGGGTGGGAGGGAGGGGGGAAGGGGAGTGCGGGAGGAGGGGAGGGAGAGGGAACTGGGATTGACATGTAAAACAAGCTATTTAAAATTAAAATAAAAAAATAAAAATAAAATAAAATAAATAAATAAAATGAAAAGTTCAAGTCTTTGGAAAAAAAAAGAGTAGGCAAGTTTAGAGACAGAGTTTGACATCAGTAAAGCTGTCTTGGGAGCTTCCTTGGTCTTAAAGGTGTTTAATGCAAACAAACAGCAGTTATACATGAAGGGTCTCTATGCTAACTATACCTTTTATTTTTATGGTGATATTAAAGAGCCTTTGTAACCACTAAAAAAAAAGGTTCCATCCTCAACTTCTCCCCTTGACAATTTCAAACCTGGGTGGGGCCTCCACTATAAGCGAGGCTACACCTGCATCAATGGCCCCCTGGCTTCTCTGTGAGGATTCCAACTTTCCCAAATGGTGCCAAGCTGCATCTACGCTCTATGATCCTTTATGTTTTCAAAATCAGTACCATGTAGAAGACTCACTACCCATTACAAAGCTCAGCTACCAGCCTGAGATGAAGCCTTGACCCCCTAGACCACATTGTCTGTGTGCTGACCCTGAGAGAATATATCTCAAAAGATTTCACCTCAGTGATGCTGGTATCTTATCAAATACAACTGATTCTTCAGCCAGTGCTAACCAGAACCAACTTTCCCAGGAAAGCAAGCATTCCACTTTGGAATTCTTAATCCAAAATTTCATAAAAACAGTCCTAAAAGAGTCTTTGCTTCTCTCTGAAACTTCACAAGCCAGGCCTCCAACCCCCACATCTCTCTCAACATCTTATCTTCCAAGCTTCCATAACTTCTGAGTATTCAACAGCATTGTCTAGCCCTAAGCTCCAAAGTCAAACACAATCGGGTCCATCAGAACAATACCCCCAGGATCTCAGTGCCAGTTTTCTGTTCTAGTTTGATTTTTCCTACTGTAGGAACTCAAGATAGGAGCCTGGGGGCAGAGCCCATGAAAGAATACTACTTAGTGACTTGCCTCCACTGGCTTGCTCGGCTACATTTCTTATAGTCCAGGCCCATATATCCAAGAATGGGCCCACCTACATCAAGAAGCAATCAAGAAAATTGTCCCATAGCTACGGCCACGGGCTAATCTTGTAGATGCAATTCTTCAGGTGAAATGGTTCTCCGCAGTTGGGTTGTGTCCATTTGACAATAAAACCAACCAAGACAACTAGAATCTGTGCTTCTTATTACCAATTTTAACTGCTGTTTTGATTAATAAAACACATGAACCTCTTTGAATGATAGCTGACTAATACATTTATCAAGACCATAGATCTATATACTTAAAATTATTCTATTATGTGTAAACTAAACCTCAATACAGAATACATGAATAGATCACCAAGCTAAACAATTTTAGAAGGGTGATGTAAAATGTATTTAAGATGCAAAAAATTCATCTATCGTAATAATTTTCCTGTCACCTTATTGTAGTTTTTCATTCCTTCTTTACATTAAAAAAACTATAACTCAAGAATATTTTCTATAATGATAGTCTGAATGAATAAAATAAATAAAAAAAGAGAAAGAGCACATTGTCAAAGTCAAGACCACCAGATTTCTGTCTCTCTTTTTCTATCCTCAGGGATGAAGATGAACTAAGCTTAATGAGAAAATATCAGCAAGAACAGGAGTTGTGAAAACTTGTGAGACACCAGCATCCATTTACTCATGGGCGCGTTCAGTGGGCATTTTTATGAGTAGAGAGAAACAGCAACAGAGGCTGGGAGTGTCATGAACTCCATGGATGTGACACTGCTCTAGATAGAACTGGTGTCTACAGCAGGGCTAGGCTCTACCTCTTAGAGTTCAGTCAAAGGGAGAAGAAAGATATGTAAACAAATAGACAAAAATAGAACTACAATTTTTTGTGACTGCAGAGATAGAAACACAATTGAGAAGACTGCTCATAAGTTGGCAGATGGAATGCCTTTTCTCAGGAGGTGAGGTGAGTGAAAACGTGAAAAATGATTCATAGTGCGCATGAGAAGCAGGGAAAAGGTGGTATGTATAAAGGCATTTGGGCATAAAGGAACTGTGTTTTCAGAGAACTGAAAGGCATATAGCAGGGTAAGGGGCAAAGTGGCCCAAGACAAGGGTAGGAGACCAGGCATGGGCAGGTTACCCAAGGCTTTGCAGATGGGGCTAACAAATCCATACCTCATTGACAATTGAGGA